ACGAGCCACCTCCTCTGCTGCTGCAGCATATTGCAGGTGGCAAGCCTGTGCTGCCTGCTCTCTGTGGGCGGAGAGCTAGCTCTCTGCTCTCTGTGGGTGGACCCTAGCTCTCCACCCTCCCAATAGGAATTTAAGGACTCATTCATCTAATTTAGTGACAAAAAGTACAGCTGAAAAAAAAATATAATGGAGGATGTATATTTAGGCTAATCCACATTAGAGGGCAACACCCAGAAAAATCAACAAATTACAGTGAAAAGGTCACCTTCAGACTGAAGTAAAGAACAAAGACAAGAGTTTATAAACTGGTTTGCAATCAACCACAAACATGCCACCTTACATGGCATTTTAATTATAAATGATTACTTCTTAAACAGGATTGCAAGTAACCAAGTCAGATCCTGCCCACTTTTAGCAGGAAACAACATGTTTTGAATGTAATGGTAGCTTGACACCAAAGTTAATCTTGCTCCATATTATGCACTAATTATGCACTGATCAGTAATACAATAATCTCTCTAACATACCTCTGGAATAAGAAGGGTAAGTTTCTTTAGCCAGTCTTGCAAATGATCACTGTCCGCCAGACTGGATTTCACCAAGGAACAACAGTGAGCCCAACTCACCAAGAGCCACATTGAATAATGAGTGACTGAAAGAAAATGAAAATAAATTACACTGTAACTAACAGAATAGGCTTTTTAGGTTGAAGAGTTGCATAGTTCTAGCACATATGACGTTTATTTCAGTCATACTAATGTACAAGACTAAGCCCTTAATGGCATATAAGATATTACCTAAACTCAGAATTTTAACAATATGCTTACTAAATACTGACCATTGTACTAGTGATGACAATTAAATTAGATTACTCTAAGGATTACCAATCTGGGGCACAGCCCTTATCTGCATCTCTACTTCTTAAGCAGCGAGCTGGTACTTTGCTAATGTGTTGTATCCTGTCTTAACATGAACAATTCCCAGGACTAACTAGTTTATCTGTTCCTTTCTTCTTAACAGCTACAAGTAAGACTTTAGTAGGTGATACATAGCATTTACTGAGAATTTGAGTTCATAGACATTAACATCCACAGGGCAGACCAAAGTGGAAAAACTGAATGCAACATATAAACCTAGGAGGACATACCCATATTTGTGTGTCCCTGCACCATACTTTCAACAATTACTTTGATACAGACCTAGTCTGACACAGGTAATCTAGATCTTTTGTAAGAAACCTCCACAAGAGAGACAGATGGGGTAGCTCCAAGGAATTCTGGTCCCAGAATGATTTCTGTAAACCCGAATAAAGGTGACTATCGGTGCCTCTGTTATGGTGTTATATATGCTGCTCTTTGGAAGATAAGAATACAGCTGGTTTTCCTACCAAAAACAGTTCTTCTGCAGGCATAGCTACAATACAAAATTTCAATTTCAAAAAAAAATTTCAATAAAACAATTGCCAGAGAAGGAAAGTCTCTCTGTGTATTCCCACCTAGATTATAACAGCCCTAACACTACCAAGGAATACAATTTTATACCATTGTAATGGTGGAATAAATCAAACATGATTTGTTATCTTCAATATGCTTTCATTACTATTAGTTCATAATATCGTCAACTTCGCAGCACTAACCTTCATGTCTTGATCTGTGATCAGACTGAGCTTTCAACACCCTGAACAGGAAGAAGATAAAGCCATTTAAACTTTCTCACAGAATGTAACACTTAGAAATACAAGTACGCACAAGTAACAACAGTTACTCTTAAGTGCCCACTAAGAAAACTAAAATTTTCATCTTAAAGGGATTAATTCTTGCATCATTCAAAATTAGCAACAATAATAAAACTATTAAAATCTTCAAGTCACCCCCTTAAAGCTTTATGGACTACAAGGTAAAAGTCAAGAAAAAATACCCACAATCCCTTAATTTTATCCAAAAGAGAGCAGATGTAAAACAAAACTAAGAAGTGACCCATACAGAAGAAGCTAGCATTCTTCACAGAGAACCACACTTTACAAACATTTGAAAACTTTAGACCAATTTAAATGTTTGTATTTATTTACTTATACTTCTATAAATTGCAATAAAAAGTTATGAAACCAAAACCATACTGTATATGTTTAAAACTATTCCTGCAACTCAACTAGATGTTAAAGTTAGTTACACTTGCTGATTTGGCTGGAAATGCTCTGAAAGTCCTAAACAATCTTTTAAAAATATGGATACCCATACTATCCATTACTTGGAATCAAGTAATTCTAAAACACCAAATGCAGCAAAAACCATGCCCTCCTCACCATCAGTCTGACTCTGTCAAGATGCAGTTTCATACAGGATTGCTTTTCTTAGGACAGCAAGCAAAAAGGACAAAAATCTCTAATAGCCTGTTTCTGAAGGTAAAATTTTGCCTTCAGTACATGCACTGTCACTAAAACAATAATGGTAATTTCAGCAGTAATAAGCTAATGTTATTAGGATGGGAAAAATAAGTAAAAACCAGCAGATGACTAAGCAGCTTAAAAGTGATTTTACTTTAATTTCTTCTTTACACTGCCTTGAAATTGAGAATGCTAATTGCTACAGACAGAACAAAGAAATAGTTTTGGCATGAGAACTTATGAGAACATACCATATATATTTTGTTGCTCTGTGTCTTATACCCTGACCATTGAGAGTGCTCACCTCTATCCTCTTTCTCACTCCTCCTATAAGGGTAGGGTAACTACCAGAAGAGGTGACTAAGAAAAGCAAGCTTAACGCCTATAGACTTAAATTTCTGATGTAAGTGTTAACGGGGACTACAACTGAAAGAGCTATTTACTTTTTTTAAAGCGGTGATGAAAATGTGCACACTTGATTAGCTTTATTACAAAAATAAAAAGATATTGTACCTAGGTGCCAAGTTGTCATATGTATAAGCAACTGACATAAGTCGCTGAATCAAACTGGTTCCCTGGACAAGTACAAGAAACACCTTTAAAAATTGAAGTCAAAAGAAAAAAAAACAGTTAATATAACAACAAGCTTTTTGATCTGTTTTTAAATTATACACACTGTGTGAATCTAAAACAAACCCACCTGTGTAGAGGGAGGAAGAGCAAAAGACAAATCATAGCATCTCCATAGTTAAAACTTACACTGCTTTTCATTAAGGCAGCTCTAAAATCTTGTGTTTCATTGACTAAGTCTAAACGGTAAAATTTCAGTCTATTTGTCTAAGCAAGATAATTTAACTCGATAGCAAACCATTTATTTGATCCTTTTAGTAAAAATACAGTATTATTTTAAAAGCATAGACTATTCACTTCCTTTTAAAAAATCTTTGGCTTGAGGACACCGGGCTGAAGATGAGGTTGGATATGTAAATTTCACCTGTCTCTGTGACAGGCATTTTATTGAATATACATTCACTTAAAATTACTAATTTTTAGAGAATCTGACAGGCTATACAGAATTTTGAAATCAAAGTCTGAAGAAAGGCTTTTAAAATATTTAAATAGCAAATCCACTGCAATAAAAAATACTCATCAACTGACAACTAAAACCAGTTATAGAAACTGGCAGCAGCATTTACACACAGCCAATGTTAAAAAATTTAATATATTTTATAATTTTCCTCTATCATAGTAGCTTTGGTAATTTAGGGATCTGTTTTGTCAAAAATACCTAACACTTATAGAAGAGTTAAGGTCTTTCCATGTATGACAATGACAAGTGGGAAGTTTGGCTCCAGCTTACAGTTCAGATCTACACTTTCTGGCAATCACAGCTGGTCCTGTGCACAAGAACAATTGATTTTCAGCGAACATATCCCTGATACCAAAATACTACACTTGCTTGGTCTATATTTGGAAATTAGCATGCAGGAATATGGTAGGAAGGTTTAGAAGTTCAGGTAAATTTATCATACACTCAGATATCCCTAGCAGAGTAAGTTATTTTAGTGTTTACTAAAGGAATCTAAAATATATTTAGTGAGGACTGGGACAGCCTATATAACAGGTTACTGTAAAAAAAAAGAAGTAATTTGGAAAACAAAATCTAAGAAAGAGGTATAAAGCACGGGAATTCTGAATTCCCAATTCACGTGCTCACCAATCACCAAGACCCTTTTTGTTCCAGCTTTTAAAACTTCCAGGTTTAAAGCAATTAAAATACTTTTCGGAGGAGAATAACATGTAGGATATAGATTAATAATAGTAACTTTTCTACTACATTGTTTTATTACCAAAATCAAGGCTTCATACAACAAAGGAGCAATTTTTTGAAAGTTCACAAAATGGACACACTCTTCGTCTCTCACCTCTGTCAAACGAGGTATATGAAGGCCCTTTGCATGGTCACTTGCAGTCTTCCTTGATTTGCCTGGCCATGTTCTTTTTCTGTGACTCTCTGCTACACCAGACCAGGCAAAGACATCATGGTAAGCTAAATCCAGATCCGAAGGATCAACAGCAAACTGGCATATCAGTTTCAGCAAGCAAGCAAGACAGTCTAGCTGCCACTGTGAGTAAGGAGAAGATGAAATTTCATTTTTTCAGGCATTTATTTTACATATCAAGTTTATTTTTCATTTCAAGGTACTATGGAACTTGAAATGCAAAGCTTAAGAAAGGTATAAAGGATAAACAGCTAGAACTAACTGGCAAAACCTCACTAAAGAGGAAGGGTATAATCCCCTTACTTCTTATAATGAAAATATTGTCATGATCTAGTCCTATTAACAAGTGCATTCAAGACATTCTGTTACTCAGTGCATTAAATAACACAGGAAATTTGTGCAGGAGTTAAATTCTACAGTTAAAAGCCTTTCCTGCATTGTATTCAACTATAGCGCAGGGTATAACGTATGGTATACAGAAGTACTTTCAAGTTGAATATATTTAACCATGCAGAGACAATATATACTAGCTTAAAAATCCCATTTTGTATTTTAACATCTCTTGTTAGGTGGAAACCACTGATTCATTTACTAACTCTTGAGTTCAATTTCCTTGGCTCTCAGCCATGTGGTTATAGCCAAACATAGCACCTGGTCAGCTCCACCAGCAGAATGTGCATTATCAGAGGAAAATTAACAAAAATAGAGCACCATGTCACAGCACATACATGCGTAAGTCTGAATAGAGAGGACAATTTGTTTCTAATATTGAAAGAATTTTAGAACACACACATCAAAATCAGTTAAAAACAAACTTTTAATAAAAAGTATACCTCCCTTCTTTTTGGCATTTCAGTAACTGTCATCAGTTTTATACATACATGTGTATGCTTGTTCATTTACTTCTTTTTATGTACATGACTCAGAGCTTGCGATATTTATTTTTTTTAATCAAATGCTATGGAATTGAAAATAAAAAACTACTCTAATAAAAAGAAGTTTTCATTATGACATGAATTTACCTCAAACTAGTAACAGAATAATGATGAAAAAGACATATAAGAATTACTAACGATAATGCTCATTATTGAAAAATGTCTTTATTAACACCATAGCCACAAAGCTACCACTTTCGTCTCAGTGCTGACAAGGGGAAATGGTATTTCTTGGCCTCTTCAGAGGGAAAGATAATTAACAGACTATGGCTTTTAAAACAGACTGTAATAAAAGTTTCCAAATAGCAACCTTCCCTAAAACAAGAAGAAAAAACAGCAAAAAATAAAATACCTCCTTCATGTTTGGCAAATTTTGACTTTTTAAAAGAAGCCTGATATGCAATAGTATTATCAATGCAGTTGCAACCATTCCTAAAGATGGAATCCAGTTTATTTTCTAAGATGTTCCCATGATCTACAGTTTTACGTTCTACAAACTAGGAATTTTTAAGTCTAGACAAAAAATTAAACCAAAAATACACAGAAAAATACAAAGGGTGGTTTTTAAATATAAAAAAGTGTAAGTTATGAAGACTTTTTTAAAAAAATTAATTCTTCCAGGAAGTTAGAATATTCAAGAAAAAAATATATGATTGCATAGACTCTTCCGGTTTCAATTACAGAATTCCTTTATTTCACTTACTATAGAAAAGTAGCTATAACAAAGTCTGAAAGTAATGAGGTCTTTCCAAATGTCAGCTATGTTATTCTGGAGAAAGAGGATGAGTAAACACCTACCACAGTCCATGATTCCTGTTCTTTTGGCTCTAAGATTCCAGAATTGAAAATTTCTAGTAACTGTTGGAGCCCTCCAGCAGCAACAAACTGTAAGTATATTATGGAACCAATGTGAGAAAAAGTAAATACAGACATATCACTAAGCTCAGTTAGATATGAATCTAAGCTTTATAAACAAATTTTTAAAAAAATCTGATAAACTATTCAGCTAGATAGTTTATGGAAAACAAAAGAAATAATTGTACACAACTATGACAAATTTACAGGCCTGATAACCCTGAAAAACTTTAAAATGTTATACATAAATTTGAGATAAAAACCGCTAAGACAGATAATGTTTTAAATGGGTTTTAATTTTATGTCTTTTTTTGGAAAACTATGTTAGGTATCACAGAATACTGTAGGAAAATCAAACCTTGCAGCTCCACGTGTTTTTACTATTTTCTATTTGATCTTCACTCGAATCATCTGAGTCTGGGTAAAGATCGCTGTAACTTCCCTAAAGATAAACAAGAACAATTAATTCTAAAAACAAATAATTAAAATACTATAAAATAACTTATCAATGTATACTTTGGTTCAGAGAGAAAAACATATATTCAGTGCAACAAACTCTGTTACCGTAGATTCACGTCTTATTCTCCTGTTGGGCTTTCCCAAAGCTTCAATAATTTCCAGGGCATACAGAAGTTTATGGGCACTTTTTATTCGCAGCAGATCCTTCCAGCTAAAGCCATCATTACCCTTAAAAGATAAAAAAGACAGAAAGCAATTAATACAAACACGTAATGCTGATCAATATGAAAAATGCAAGGAGAGGATTTTTAAAGTGATGTGGACAAATTATTTGGTTTTTAATTTCATCTATTATGTTAAATGAGACAATTTCAAGTATATTTCTATACACAACAATTTGAACAATGTGAATTCAGCAATGAAATTTGAGCAAACCTCCAACATAATAATAAGCTAAAGTACACACAATTTTAAAGTAGAGGAAGCCAAACATTATACTCCAAATTATAATTCCACCAAAATTCTGATGCATGTGTCCATAAATCTTTAATATCTAAAAACTGTTAACATGTAGTTTCAACAACTTTTGAAGAGGAAAAATTTTCATCAATAGGGCAAGAAAAGGTAAGTACCCATGTTTCTGCAATTACAGAAGAGAGTACAAAATGATTACTACCACAACAGCCATAATGTTAAAGCAAGGCTGCAAATGAAGAAACTGCTGCTTCAATTCAAACCAAAAGATTGCAACAATTAGCATTGATTATTCTTTTCATTTATCAAATCATTTTTTAAAGAAATCACAAAATCAAACTTCAGGAACTAAACTAAACTCTGTTTAGTTTAATTTCACAAGAATTATTAGGGTTTTTTATTAGCTTTACTTGTGTCTCAGCATACTTAACATACCTACTATTTAACATTCCTATTTGGGGAAAATTAAACTAAAACACTAGACACTAAATATCCATGTATAATAAAGATAAATATGTAAAACAAGCATTCTTTGTTCACCTGCTCATCTGAAATATTCTGGAATGCCTGCAACATATTAGGGCACGTTGGCAGAAGCATTAACAGTTCCCAGACACGTCTGGATAAATTTTCTGCATGGAGATGGAGTTCTTCACATCTTGCACTCTGACAAATCACAGAACAACCATTCTTATTGCAAACTTCTTTGTGAAAACAACCTTGCTAAGATTTCGAAGTTCAAAAATGTATTTATTCTTAATTAAAAAGCTGCCTGTTTCCTATCCTAATGTAAATCCATAAATGGAACATGACAGTTGAAGTCTCACTGAACCTGCAAGAAACTAAGTTCCATTACCTTTGAATGTAAATAAAACTTAAAAATAAACTACTGGTTTGAATATACTAGTGGTTATTTAATTCCCCACAAGCTAATAATGGCATATAAGACAGAAAACTCAAGTTTTTGCAATAAAACCTTTATAAACCTTTCTTCAAGCCAATTCCCATTAGTAGTCACCACATCTATTTAAGTAAATATTCTTCATTAAGAATTACTTTTTCATAGCTTCTACAACATTCAGAACATTTAAAATATGTCAGAACAAGGTTGTCAAGAAATCCAGAAAAACCATGATAATGGTTATACCATATGTGAAATGTGCATAGACACACAATAAACATGTCTAGCGATTGGATAGAGTACACAAGAAATAGGCTAGATAGGAAAAATAGATCAAATTAAGACTTAAATGTAATTATTCTAATAAAATTACTCTAAATTACCTCACTGTCTTCCATAGCCACCTCTCCAGAAGGAGGCTTAAAAGAGGCAAGCATCTCTAACAAATCAAAAAGGGTGGTAAGATGTGGTTCTTGCAGGAGTAAAAGCATTGGAATGTTGTCCTTCTGAGGAGGAGGTAAGCAAGATGCTGGAAGCTGGACACCTTCACCTTTACGTTCTCTCCTTGGTGCACCGAGGGATACAAACACCATCTAGAAACAGAGAGAAACAAAAAGGAGGAGAGAGAGAGAATATTTAAAATGCATGCTAAAGCCATGGAATGTTTTCAACAGTATCAGAATTAACTTAAAGATACATCAATAACTTTGATGTAAAATCTTTACTGAGCAGCATTTTGAGCAATTCACTGAAGGCATTCATCGCGTAGTTGCATACACTTTTTGCTGTTGTTACAGTAGATGGTCCTGTTTCCCTGTCCCTCACCACTTACTTTGCTATTCAGGCTGGGGAGACTCTAATATCAATCTGACTTCTCAGTACATTAATGAAATGGCACAAAAACTAATCCAGAGGAAAAACAAGATAAATTGTCTCAAAGGACCAGAAGAATGCTGGTGAGGGCATAGCAACACAAATAGCAGTGTAGCTAGAAAAGCAGACATTTGTTACACTGGCATAACCACGTTGTAGAAAGCCATTTTCAGATTAACTCTTCCTGTTGACTCGTTATCAGCATGGGATAACATGTATCGATCACACCCAGAAGAAACTAACGACTGAAGACACAGTCCAACATATCATCCGATTTGGAACCACAAGAGTCAGGATAGACCAATTGCCACAATTGCTAACAGCCAGCAACGGCACATGTCATCATATCAACCAGTAATAATATTTCTAAATGGCTGTTAGCAGATCCCTAAAGTGTACAGTATGAGTTTAGTCTTCCTTTAGAGAGAAAGAACTTATGTGATGGTCTGCTGCTAAGTTTTGTTATACTCCAACCTCCTCAAACAGTCATTATGCCATTCACACTTACACAAATCAAATCAGCCTTTTCCATACTGTTGACCTCAGCAAACTTATGAGTAGACCACTCTAACAGGAACTTTGAATTGAGATAAAAAATTAGAGATAAGCATTAAAAAAAAATGCTTCAGATTTAACTTGTGAAAGGAGAGAGCTAGTCACTGCTACTATGGAATTAGTATGTATTCAACAACACAGACAAAATGTGGATATTTGGTTCTGTTTTCACTGGTCCCTTGTTTTCCCCGATGAATGAAAAACCTGAAATTTTTATTTTCTTCCCTGAGGTCTCACATCTGCTAACATAACCAGAATTAGGCTTTAAAATTTCTTAATTATTTTTAAAACATCAAGGACCAACAGCACTAGTTTGATCTTACAGGACACCATGAAACAACTAGTTTCAGAAAACTGTAGGATGCTCTGAAAGCAAAGTACACCTTCCACCACCACTACATAAATCAGTTGCACAAGACTAAAGCAACATATCAACCAATCTTTTTCAATGACTGCTATCTATACGCTGGTAATACCTGCATATCCTTAAAACCCAATTCATGAAGTGTTTTTTCATCATAATCAGTTGTCAGTTCATGCCCAGATGAAATCATTCTCACGGGTCCCATGAGGCCACCTAGGACAAAAACATATTTCAGTAAATTTCTGTAACCACAGTTTCACTTTCTAATGAAAGTTCTAAGACTTATTTTTAATAGTACACCCTTCACTAGCAATTAAAATAAGGCAAAAACTTAACACGATTTCCTTATGAAAACTGTTTTTTACAGTAAACTAAATTTACTTGCATATACTCCAGAATAACCTTTTCAATAACACTTCACCCAATCTTGTAGTGAAAAGTGTTCACAATACAGATGAAAGCACATCTTCTAAATATTCTGCAGTAAATTATGTTATGCCAGAGGAGGATAATGGAAAATGATTGTGATCAATAAAATCCTTTTGTACCACACCTGTGATAAAGTCAGCAAAGGCAAAGAAGCAATGATTAATCTTAGTTAAATGTAATTTGGTACTGAAGACATCAGATACTTCAGAAAGGAAAAACTGAAAGCAGGAACCCAGAATTACAATGCACAATGGCTTTAAACCTCAAGAGTACTCATATAGTTCTAACCACTAATTCTGGTGCACAAAGATATTTGTCATGGACTGAAATTTGCTACGCTTTTCAGCTCCCGTTCTTACAAGTACGCCTTTCCCAACATTAGGCCCTGGCCCTTCACACCAGTGAAGAGCAGCTTTACACTGACACTATTCTGAAGAAGCCTCATTGAAATCCCAGTGCTGAAGTAAAGCTTATTTTTTTTAACCTCTTGCAGAAATCTTGGGAGGTACTCAGTATACAGTGGTGGAAAGACAGGCTAACAGGAGTGCTAAAGGAGAACAACAGCAAAAGAAAATGCTAGTCAGAGTTAACAACAGATGAAACAAAGTAGTAAAAAAAAAAATGCAAATCTAGAATTCCAAAAGCCAAAGTTGTTACAAAAATTCTGTTATCTCTATTTCGTGAAATTGAAATCCCATCCAGGGAAATAACAAAAAACCAATTAAGGACAACAAGTTTTAGCCCTATAAGGAAAAGGCAAGAGGAAAACTTGTACTCTGACATCATGAGACTTCAGTTTTTAATGTAATTTAATAAATTCTGCTCAGATTTCTACCTCAGTTGATGAAATAATTGTGACTTCAGGTTCCAAATCAGGAATTGGGTTTTTTTTGTTGTAGAATAACTAATACAGATGTATTAAAATGGACACAGTAAAAGGTCACTGAGACAGAAGTGTGCACTACATACTTTACAACACATCTCCTGTGATGCAGAATGACCCAAGGTTTTAAGTGTAAACAGTCAATACACTGAACTATAACTCATAGACATCTTTGTGACCAACAAAATGTTATTAGAAAGTCCTTCCTTTTTTTTTTAAAGCTATACAAAACAGCGCCCAAAATAGGGTATGGATGAGTAAAGCACAGGTTTTAATCGCAAGTCTCAATTTCAGTCCTATCTTCTCAAAATTAGCAGTTGAAAAGTAAAAATCATGTGACTAGATTACTCCAAACACACAGTGGCATGCAGAGAACAATGAAGAAACGCTTCTTCAGGAGTTTGGCTAATAAGAGATTTAACCTATTACAGGATTTTATGCACCTATCAGCCAACACTGGTATTAATTACAAGACAAAGCACTTAGATGCATTAATACAGGTTTTAAACCTAGTGAAGGACATTGGGTTTATGAATCGACAGATAAAACTTTCATGGTTCTCCAGCTTCCCATAGTTACGATACGTTAATAATTAGTGTAATAAGCACAGAAAAAAATAAAACATCCACAAAAAGCATACAAAATCACAGATGTCAGCACAGGCACTATACAAAACAGAAGACACTGTACATACGTAACACAACTGAACTGCAGCTGCTAGGACTGCAATTCTGAATTTTCTGTATCATGTTTCTAAAATCCTAGCTAAAACAAAAATAAAAATTTCTGCTATATGGCTATACTTAGCAGAAAACAAGATAGTTTCTTCACTAAAACAGCTTCTGATGAGTCACTAGAAAAGCATTTCACAAAGATAGTAATTAAGATGTCAGAAATTCAGTCTGGTTTACTGACAGTGTGTCTCATTAAACCATTTTTTAAAAAAGTTGTTAAACTATGAAAAGAAAGTCAGATTCATGTTTACACATATTCCAATGGTCAGTGGTGTTGGAAAAAGATGTTTATGGACTGAACTCATTCAGATAATACATATTACATGCTAACTCTTACTCATAATGAGAAACAAAAATAGAAAACATTGCGGAGATGGAGAAGATAATTCAGAAAACATTATGAACAGCAATAAGCGATAACTATACTACAATATTTAGCACCAACAGGATTTAGAAAATGTCCTCCTTCTAAAGAATAAAGCAGAAATTTTCGTTCCCTTTCTTTACCTGTTTTGAGTGAATAACAAGAGGAAGCATATTAATCACACTGTAAGCAAGCAATGACCACCTCAGGAGCAAGGTGACATTCCAAATTAAGAGCATCAAAAGAGGACAAATAATCATTTTTGCTACAGGATGATCATAAATTAAAAAGCAGTTGCAGGAGTAAGGAAAATCTCACACCTGACTGGAATACATATATGTAGGATATAAATCATGAACTTGAACTATAACTTCAAATTCTGAATCACTGGGAGAGCCAGAAATGAATACATTTCACACAACACAGAATAAGGTTCTAAGTAACAGAATCTCCAAATTACAGAAAATAACATAATTACTTAAAACAATGAGAAGAAAAATAATGTGTGGAAAAGTCTATTGGGACTTGGAGATTGGCTAAATCTAACGACCTTTGGCAGACCTAAGTTTTCTTTGCTATTTCAAATAAATGGTAGCACTCAAGAAACAACACAAAAGCAAAGGTGATGCTAACTATAACTACAGCTAGAAGAAAATAAATCATAATGCTTGCTTATTTAGGATATCTCTGGAAGAAAAAAACAATCTTCTAAGCTCTAAATGGATGAACCCTCATAAGGGCAAAAAATACAGTTATGAGTCCTACAGCTTACCAGGGAAATCCCCTTTGCGGCTGCTTTGGCCAAACTCCTGAAGCTGTGCTTGTTGATTTATCTGCTCCTTCTGCAAATTTTCGTACCAATGGGTGACTTCTGCCCGTAGATCAGCCACCTGATCACTAGGATACATTTCTATAGTCATCTGAAATAAAACATATTTTTCAAAGTGCACAAGGGGCTTACTGAAATCTAACAAGGTAGGATGTACTTTTAAAAGGGCTTTTAAATCACCTTGTCAGGAAGTCCAGCTGGCTGACATACAATTCTTAGTGGTAGTGACTGTTTGTCACTCAGGGCTTTCAAGTGACTGCTGATACCAGTGCCTTCAATCTGCCACTGTCTCAGATGATACGCAAACCTTAAGAACAGGCAAAAACATTGAAAAAGTATTTTTTTCAAAACCTATTTAACACAAACATTTGATAAGTAATGAAAGACAAAACTTGCAACTTTATTCACTGTTTCTTTCAAAGTAGGAGGAAGTTATTGATATTCTCACGGTTTTTCAAATAAATCTAAAATAACTCTGAAAAAGTTTCTTTGGTGAGGGATGGGGAAAAACAAACCATATCTGTACGTCTATATACAAGGACAAGGGCCAACTCGTCTAACTGTTTAAACCTTACATATTGCCTTTCAAAATTGTCCACTACTGTCCTTACTTTACACAAAGAAAAACAAATACTTAAATTAATAATAAATCATAACTTCTTACAATAAGAAGAATGTAAAACAATTCTGCATCCAAATATGTCAATATTTACCTTCTCCTAAAAGCCTCCAGGTGTGTCTTCAGCATTAAGAGTCCTCTTTCAATAATGGTCAGACTTGAATGAGAGTCTTGCTCAAGGTTACTAGAAGCTATCATCAGACTCTCCATACACTTGCTAATAAATTCCTGTTCTTTTTCCAGACCAGTTTTACCTGCAATATCAGTTAAAGCAAGTTATACATGCACAACTTTGGGACTATGCATTTTAATACTAAGAATAAAAAGAGGATAACACTATTTTTTGAAACATTTTAAATAGAAAATAAAAATAAAAAGTCATACCATTGATATAATAAGAGTTGATATACTGGATAGCTGCTCGACTGACATCAACAGACTGTGCTCTTAAAGCAATGCCCCAGAACTGGTCCATTCCACACAACTGGTTTGACAAAAGCAAAACAAACACAGAAATAAAACATTGCCTCATTATTTTACTGGGAGTGATGCTTTTCTCACACGAGACATTTTATTTGCCTCTTGATACAATTACTAAAAATATCTGGTTTTCCCCTGCTTGGGCTCTCACCACTGCACACATCAATTACTATAAAATTCTAACTTTCACAGACATATTTTCATACTTTGAAAAAGCATTAGGAGAACTGGTTAACATTCAAAACAGTGAATTTTCATTTTTGACAAACAGCAATACTTTTAAGTGAAGCCTTAAAACCACAACTATTGTTGGTATTCACCTCAAGAAGAGGAATTTTGATATAAAATTGCCTCAGATCAATTCACAGAAAAACATCCTATACATCATTATATTTCTAAGACATTGTCTCTGTATAAAAAACTACAGAAGAAAAACTTCTGAAGTACATCACACTTAAACCAAGACACATTTTACAACAGATTTCTAGTCATAACAGACTGTTACCTGAACTTTCTTATTTATAAAAGTAAATCTTACAAACCCACTCTTTAAACACAACAGTGAATACAGTTCAGTTATGCTAAGAATATGAAAAACTGCACAAAGATATGCAGACAACAGGTATCACTTTCTTTGTGGTTTACTATCTCTGCTTATAAAGTCAATAAATTCTCAAGAGATAATGCTGTTACAGTAAGTCATTTAACTTTTCCCTTCCCTCAGAAAGAAGAAAAACATGAGCACAGAATCTAGGCTTACCTCTGAGTTTGAGCCACCATCATATGCACTAGTAGCCAATCGAGCCAAATTACACAAATGCTGGAAGAGGTTTAGGCCAGTCATACTAATAGTTTCAGGTTTTAGTTGTGGCATCTAAATAAAATGAATGCACACTTTAGTATGGAAAAAAAAAATTCAGTGATGGGACAAATAGGAATTGCAGGGTATTTATTTCATTAGCACAGATAAACATTGTTGTTACTACCAGTCATATTCGAACTTAGTAGGTAGATCAATTAAAATTTATTCTTGCAAAAGATCACATTCTCTGAATTTTACATACAATACAAAAAAAAGCAACTATTATTGGATTAAACAAACCTGTTTTCTCTATCACTGATTTGGACTGCAACAGTGCAGAAGGAACAAAAATTACAATTGCAACATTAGCTACTTATCAACAGCAAGACAATTTGTTAGCATACATGACGTATCCATTCAAAAAACTCATACACTTGTAAAACTAGTCAAAAACTGTATAACCTTGAAAAAAGAACTAGACTACATTAATTATTGCACAATCTATCCAATTTGCAATGTCATCTGCTGAAATGGACGAGACCCCTTGCAAAAAACTCTACTGTTGCATGTTCGTATTTTCAGTGGATGTATGGATGAGATTCACACGCCCATCCCAAAAAGAAAATTTTTTGTTTTAGTCAGGTAGCTATATATCTATCATAAAGGAAAGTATATTTTTGGGTGACTTTTTTCCAAATTGAACTGAAGCGCTACATAGCTTCAGATACAACACGCACAGTATTTGCAAAGAAGCAGCCAACTAAATACTAGTGTGAAAAGAATTCACGTCCTTCTTCCCTCCAAGAAGAGAAAAATCACTGCATGACAAATGGGGCCCTCCCAGACTACTGACGATGTATTTTTCATAGAAACAATTTTAAATATGTTAAACAGTGCTGATATGGAAAGAAACACTTCTATTAGAATTAATAAGGTTGCAATTAACTCTACATACCTTTTCCAAAAAAAGATGCTTGTAAGTCTCCATACCCATAGCATGCTGATCTTTACTTCGTACTTGATTTAAAAACCAGTGTAGTGCATCATCATAACATTCAGAATCTTCTACTAAGCAGTGCCACAGTATGTCTACTTGTTCTAAACTCAACCCTAAAATTAGGGAAGCATTTTTAACTATTCCTTTTTAACATCAAATATATAGCAATATTCTACAAAACCCAAGAATACATACAGAAAAATCAGAATAGTTTTTGTCAAGACAAGAAATTTTTGGAAAGAACAAAATAAAAATGCACCATCTACCAATCAGGAATCACACACTTGTCTCCTTTTAGAGCTGTCAATCAGCTACAGTTTTTGGTCATCAGTGGTGTCAGTTGTTCCTAAACCAATGAGTAGAATGGGGTGGCCTAACATCTCGTACCAAACTAGGTTGTTTCTCAGTTCATGAGTAATTACTGGGCACAACCTAGAGTCCAGCTTTGAGCTCGGTATTGAGACTGTGGATGAAAGTAGCATCTCTACAGCTATTTTACTGTTACTCCTTTTAATAGGTTTATTGGCTTAGTTGGCATATAAACATTTGTGATCCCAACAAATTTCTTTAAAAAGAAATGTGGCTATCCTATCAACAATAGCAAATACACTGTTACAAGTTTTTTTGCTCTTGGCTACAGATGGCTACAGATATTCTCATTCATTACTATTCTCTGATGACCAGAGGGACAAGCCATATGTTGTATGCCAGCTTTGACTACCTGTAATGAGATTACCCAGATAACTCCTCCCTTCAGTCGTTTTAATAAATTACCTGAATATACAATCGGAGGAAAGTCTGTACAGAGCTGATGCTGAGACAACACTGAAGGCTATTAGTTTACAAGGGCCTAAGAAGAGAGTGGCCAGAACGATTTATGGAAGGGAAAGCCACCAAGGATTACTAAAAACACAGAAAACTATGTTCAACTTCGAATTCCAGCTGCCACATCAAAAGATTTCTATTTTTAACCTTTTAGAGTGAAAAGTTTTCAGCATCTGTACAGATCAACTATTATGCAGAATACCATTTGTGCAAAAGACCCTACAAGGAGTGTAAACCAATTTATGACAGTATTAAAACATAAAGAATTATGCCCTTTTGGTATCACAACTTACAGTGCATTCCAGTAAAAGACCTCTGGGAACACTGTGGACATCAATCAAAACCCAAACATATATTATCTTCATTTCAGTAATTACTACCATCCTAATACTTAGAAAAACTGAAGCACAGAGAACGTAAAAAAACATAAAACCAAAAAAATCTTCCTTCTTTTGAAACAGTATCAGAGAATATTTAAAACTGTATCTGTTTAAAATATTATATTTTTTAAGCTGATATTGATTACTAAGAACTACATGAGCCTTACTACAAGGTGCTTCTCTGGTAAGATAACCTCAAATACTTACTGAAATGATCTGGTGATCCTAGAGTTGAAAACACACATGTCAGGAATTGAAGACGAACCTGAACTTCTGCACTGTGGCTGTATCTAAAATTTAAATTTGTATAAAAATGGAAGTTTAATTTTTTATTGTCATAACTTTTTTCTCACTCACACATGTGCCTCTTAAAAGCATAAGTAAGTTTTTCTTTTAAGTTTCTTTCTGAACTCCTGATTCAGTACGTAGTCTATAGTCCAGTTGTTTGGTGTGGTTCTGTAACACGTACAGCGGAATGACACACTAGCAATTACTCAATAAGGTACTTTTTGGTTGGTTTTTGGGGGGTGGGAGTGGGGGTTTTTTGGTACACAGTCCAGCATCATTTTGTCATTAGCACCTTGCAGGGTCTGACCTTAATTTTTTTCTGAACTTTTAAAATGGTGATATTTCTACTCTGAATTTCATAACTTACACAAAAATATTAACTTTTATTTCTATTTCTAAGATAGAAGCTTAACGGTCAAAGGCTCAGTAAAACATATTGTTTTGCCTGAATTTAAAGCAATTCATCCCACTTTCAAACAGCTTTTTAAGTAATTTCTCACTAGAGCAACATCCAATATAAAGGTGTATGATGAAGTAAAAATTCGACCGATAAATACCAACATTTTTCAATTGCAGATGCCCGTATTTCTGTACTGACTTTGACATCTGTCAAAACATGAATAGTCTATTCCTCTGGGATTGGGAAGCTAGAAATTGTATCACTTGTGTATATACACCTAATTTTAAACATACAGTTTGGAAAGTGCAGATGAATGTGTTAAACAGAAAAAAAACTACTGCAATGGTTGATAGTAATAGATTTTAAAACTTTCTGAAACACTTGAATAGTTTTATGATATGAAATCACTTTAAATTTATTTGCATATATAAAATCTTTGTGTTTTACTTGTAAACAAATATTTAACATAATGTTTTACAAAAACGACATGAGAGTTGTTGCAAGGTTTTTTAAGGAAAAGGAAGATATTTAAAATGTTATTTTTTTTTACAGACCCTTGTCTCTCTAAGCATGTAATGTCCCTACAGAAAGCATTTACTTGTAAGAACACATCAGAAGCACCAGAATAAACATAGAAAAGAAACATTTAAAAACATAAAATATCAAACACTCAAAGTCAGTTGTGTACTTACAATGCATGTTTATGTCGTCCTTCCCTGACTGCCTGAATGTAGTGTACCAAATTATCAAAGAAAAGTTTCATCATATTAAGTTCCTTTTCTGCCCACCTGTGTCAATTTAAAGGGCAGAATGTATTACAGTTTGCTTAAAAATATCAGAATAGCTACAGAAATTAGACACGGAATTATAGGCAAATTGCATACACATAAAACCAAAGTAAACATTCAATTTTCCATCTACCATGAATTCAGGAGTATTCTCCAGTACAGTATTCTTCTTCATTGTCATGCATAAGTCTCTACAACGTCATTATTTTCAGGCATAGGACTGACAACACTCCCTTTCGAGACAGTAAAAACTCTTCCTAAAGGCCCTAATTCAGAAGAAGTCTTAAGCCAAAACTCAGAACTGGGCATATATTTAAATGTCATGTCAAAAAGGCAAAAAAAAATTGCTGATAATCACTGTAATGTTTCCCAGAAGTTCCAGTAGTCTGTTCTCTACAGTTAGACCAGCTACTTATATAGTTTGTCCCAGTAAGGAATGCTATATTATGCATCTTCACCTTTCAAAGGTTTTCTTATAAACTGAATCTTTTATTACTCAGAAGCATTTGATATACAATCAGAACAGAATGACATAACATCAAGTTATTACAACCTTTTACAGTATACCAAAAGTGGATGTCCAGTTCTTTCTGCAAGCCCTTTGGAACTTCAGGAGGGGGGCGGGTGGTTAAAAAAAACAAATTAGTCTGCACCTCAGTTACAACAGTAGTGCGTATTATGAAGAAATCTAGGTCTGAGTGATTAGACAAGCTCATACATATCCACCAGAAAAACAGACAGATGATAACTGTAGGTCATTATTAATTTGGACCACACTAAAGGAGCAGGCCTTGCAGCAGTCCCCTAAACGTCACCACTTCTGTTGGTTTAGTCTGTTGCAGACAGAGGGCTACTTACATAGTTATCCAATGTGTATCGTAACTGCTCCCAAATTGTTGAAACGTACCAAACAGCTTTGGAAGAAGACGAAGTGAAACTACTACTGATCTAAAGGAGAAAGAGAGAAATTATTACAATATATGATTGTTATGAAACAAAAACAGTCACTTTTAGAAATACTTCGAGAAGCTCGGCTTCAGTGAGCAAGAAGGCAAACTGAAAGTACTGTAAATACCTGTGTAAAATTTACCAGTATGTCAGCCAATTAGTTGTATGCATCTGAACTACACATATTTCAAATTCTTTACATGTAATACCTTGGACACACAGCTGTTGGACAAGTATAAAAATAAAACAGTATACATTTTTCTTATTGAAAATTGTTTACATTTTAAAAGATAAACATCGATTCTCGAGTCTCATATAACTTATTTCGTGAAATTTCAGCAAAATTAGCATGGTTTTTCTATAAACAGATGACAGCAGAAATAAATCTGCCTCAAGCTCATTACAGACACAAGTAGGTGTGCATTGTAAGACAACTATCTAGGAAAACTTAAGAAGAGCATAAACTGCATGTAATGGAACTTTCATCTCAGTGATAAGTATTTCTTTTATTAATTAATATCTTGTATACTTGTAACTTGTCTCACAAATACAGCTCTTAACAAAAAGGTACTGATATAACACTGCAGGTGATGTCCAGCAGTTGACTGGTTGTATCAAAAAAATAAATTCCACTTTTGCCAGTCTTCAGACTACACCATCTCACAGCTTTGGAAGGTATTAATGCAATTTATCTGAGGTCAAGGTATTACTTCTATCTCCAGATGCTTCTTTACAGAAATTATGCCCCACAACAGAATTGGTGGAAAAGAACTTGTCTGTTCCTCAGCCACTTGCATGTAAAATCTAAATTTCAGCTCAAAATGCTCATGCCAAGGCACTTGACCTTCCACTTTACTGGCTAAGATGTGGACCTGATTTTACCAAATGGTAGGAAGGCAATAACCTCTGGCAGAAGGGAGAACAGACAAATGCATCAAGATGAGAAATTCAGGACAGTGATAGAGTAGAAAAAAGGAACATCAGATATATCCACACCACCTTGAAAACTATTTTTATACTTTTGCTTTTGCCTGGTTTAACCTGTCTTCCTGCAAAATAAAAGAACTGTTATAGTCAACTTGGATTTCCTATATGTTGCAAAAATAGATACATGTAAAAACAGATAATGTATGATTTAAGTTACCTGTTGTTTGCTAAATTTTCTAAGCAGCCTTCAATAAATCTCATTCGAATCTGTCTGTCAGTGAACCAGCACACTAAAGAACAGAGCAGCTTCTCTGCTTCATTTATTAACCCTTCAGAGAGATGAATCTACAGCAAGTAGAAAGAAAGGTCATTGAATAGTATATATTTATTTTCTTTTAAAAAATATTCATTTCTGGTATTCAACTTACTGCATCTTCATCCTGGACCAGGTCCCACAAAAGGGTATTTCCTTTCTTACAAACATTATCCAAATTAATGTCCGTCACTGCATTGCTATTATATTGATGTTTATGAACTGCTGGTCCTGAACAAAATATAAAGACCGTTATTGAATAAATAGAAGGAACAATCTAATCTGAACGTTATTCCCTAAGTGCATGAACAGCAACATGCTCTATTTGTAAACTTTAAAGTGCATGCAAAAACACCGTAATTGCAGCCTTTTTTCACATGTGGGTTCTTAGAAGAAGACAAAATATTATGACCATACAAGAAGTCAAGAGGGCAATTAAGCCAATATTTACACTGTTTTTGGCTAATGGCAAAGTGCAATAAAAACAGTACTTCAGAACTGCAGATGCAGGTGCAATCGTTTTTTAATTTAGTTAGATTTATTTCATAGTGTAATTAAAATATTTCTTAAGTCTTTCTGTAGTGTTGTGGTCTGAAGGGAGGTATCTTTATAACTACCATAGTTGGAAACTAAGAAAGAAGCACATTTCAATAAATTCCCCTCATACTGCATGATCTCCTATATCTAACTAAAAAACAGGAAAAACAAACACCATTTTTTATATACAATAGAGTATCAAAGTGCATGATTTTAGAAACTCATCATGTTTTCATGGCACTGATAGAGGTTTTCACTCTTCTATGTGGCCACAGCTGGCACCATTCATTTATCTACTGCTTGATACTATTTTCATGTAACAGCAAAGTCAAGTAGAAAATTTAGATTGCATGCAGAACACTGTAATTATTTGCAGATGCAAAACTAAAGGTGTCAAAAATAAATCTGCACTGAAGGCCTCAGGCTCAAACAATAATTTGGATCTTCAGTAAAATGTGTGTATCTATGGAAAATACTGAAAAAATATGCTGATTTATAGTATGTTTCAACTACAAACTTTTAGTAGTTTATTTAACTCTGTAGCATAGAAAAAAAAAATCCTTCCAAATTTCCAGCATCAGACTGAACTTGTAGTTCTGTTCCACATAACAAGAAATGTTAAGCCTAAAGAAAAAAAGAGGCTTCTTACTCAACTGTGTTTCAGGAAAAGTTATAAATAAGTACTGGGTTTTACTGTCTGCTGGAAGATAGCAAACTTGGTTCTCCCAGACCAGTGAAGAAAAATTTCAAACCTTTGCTAACCATACCCTCCATTATATTTCAAAGGAGGATAAAACAGTAAATAAAGCTGCCACAATAGCATATGGAATGATGACATAATTGTTGAGAAGTGTTTTAGTAGCATCTCAAATTACACCCTGAAGTCAACTAGAAGATTTGGCAGTGTAAGATGAAATAGCATAAAATGCCCTTTAAGGCAAGCTTCCTAGTTATATTTTAAGTCATTTTACCAAAATTATCCTCTGTACAGCCCATTATGGTTAATTCATTTAAGACAACAAATGTACAGAATCACAGCAAGATCCACTCACCAGAAGAAAAATTGCATAAGGTTTCAGAGAAGAAAAAAAAAATTTACATTTCAGTAACAGCTTTCTTTTTACTTTAATAAACTGACTAAAAAACCCCATTTTTTAGGCTCTTTAGTGTCTTTCGTTGGTTTAACTTACATTAAAAGCTCCAGTAGGGATGGGGGGGAAAAAAATTGAAAAACATAAACACAGCTACATCTACTGTGACACAAAAATTAATCTCTTGGAGAAACAGTAAAATCTCAAATACACATGTACAGTTAAAATAATTTATTTTAATTCCTGGAGACTAATCCAAAATTACATAAAATCGAGTTAGAAGTACAATGTTCTTCTGTTTTCTTTTTTATCAGTCTTACCTTGACTAAGATGTTCGTGATAGATAGAGGCGAGGTTAGGAAGGTGCTGCTGAAGATGAGAAGTTAGCTCAGCATGTGAATTAATTTGTACAAGCTCTTCTTCACAGCCAGATTCTTCCCCATCAAAATCAGCCATATTTTTCTCTGACTTTGCACTGACTTGGGAACTACTGCAACTGACATCATCTGCACTTAGCATATCATCAACCATATGCCTGTAAAAGAAGAATATTAGAATGGACAATATCAAAGAGAAAGTTGTTTATAGCAAACTACAAGTGAGTAGGCATCTCCCTAAAGCTAAAGTCAGGGCGAATCTTCTGTCTGAAGAGCAGACCTTCATATGAATTTGAAAAACAATTACAGATTCATTGAAGGTCTCACTATAATGATGATTGTGTTGACTTCTTTACTGTTAACTAAATATGGCATTTTCTAAAACAATTTTCACATTTTCCGAAACGTTGTCTTCTTTATTCAATGCAAAAATCTTTACAAAATACTTTAATCAGATCTTAACAAAACAGATTACTGTGTAGCTATCTGTGATAACTATCATCTATGTTAGACAAAATTATCCTGAACTAGAGCAAAACCTCCATACCAACTTCTGTCCAAATGGAATATTTTGCTACCACTTTTATTTCTATTTTAGAAGGAATCAGAAGAAATGTCAAGCTACTTACCCATCATGGTGATGGTGGTGGTGGTGGTGGTGATGGTGGTGATGCTGTGGCCCAATGAATAATCGACAGTTAAATAATTCATTTCCAATAGTTTCTCCAAGGAAATCCCCTGTGTGAGTTATACAAGAATCCTGAGACCCTTGTGAAATGTGAGCAGTGCTCATTTCCCCTGTCATATCATGCTCTGCATCCTCAGCATGCGAGCAAGCATCTAGCATTCTAATTCGATTATCCACTGGTGTCACAGAGTCAGTGTTAAAAACATGGTCCTTTCCAGCCCCATTATTTGCACCACTCCTCTCCGATGCCCCTTGTGAATCTCCCAGACAAATCCCTGTTTGTGATTCCAGTTTTCTGCTTCGTAGATCTGTGCTCCTGCTGCTTTTCTGGGGATTATGATTCCGGTCTTCTTCTTCTTCATCCTCCTCCTCTTTGAGAGCTTCAATATCTGCAATGTCTTCAGATTGCACCTCGCTTCCAGGGCTTCCAGCAGACTGGCTTGCATGGCTGGAGTTGGCCTCGTTACTAGATCCATCACTGTGACCACTGCTACTACCAGGACCACTGCTGCCATCCTCACCACTGTTGGCTGTCTCATCAGAGCTTCCTTGCATGGATTCCTGAAATTATTTTTTTTTTAAGATTGGTGGAAAAATAAAATACCACTGAAAATACATTATCAACATGATTATTCAAATAACATTACTCGTTAAGGAGGAAACATGTCAAATCTACAAGTCTCCATTCATTCTCTCTCAATTTGGTTGCCAATGACAAAATGCTCTGATCAAGATTCAAATTTAATAATTTAATTTTTGCACTACCTTATTCTTAACAGGCCATAGGTGCAGGCTTTGTACACAGAGTGACAGTGTGACACATAAACGTTATGTCATGCAATCCCTTACTACGAGACTAATCTTACTGAAACACAATTCAAATGCAAGAGTTTGAGCTGCTTTTTTGTAGTGCACTTGCTCATGGTCAAGTTACAATATATTCTACATAAACTGCATGGATTCTAGCTATCCACTATCCTGCTGCAGGTAAGCACGCATGTTATGCACCTGTTCAGGTTTTGAAATGTTACAGAAAAAAAACATATTTCCATAGCTAATAATAGGCAAACTCGGTAACAAAATTCACAGACTAAGATTTACACTCTTACCTCTGTATCTGAAAGTCGCTGCTGTACATGTTTTGTTCTGTTAATAAGCTGTTCCTCCATTTCAATATCGCTGCCTCCACTCTGGTGGGTGTCACTGTTGTCGCTACTTTGAGGGCTTGCTGCTGGTGACCCTAGTTCAAAACCATTTCCAAGTTACTTTGTGGTATCTATTAATTGCAATGTAAAAGCATTACATAAATCTGCCTCAAATGTTGAACTCAACAGCATTCTTCCTGCAAACAGTTGAACAAGGGACATAAACAATCCATGTACCTAAACACTAAAAATTCTGTTTAGAACTCTGAGCATTTTACTGCAAAATTTGTATCCTGATGTCTCTTATTGCCAACATATAGCACAGCCATATGAATTTCCTAGATTCTACATGAAATATAATTTTAATTTGACTTCTCATAAGCTTTTACTAGTTCTTCTATTCAAATTCTATAGCTGTAGAAAAACAATGTAGTATCAAACATTACGGATTGTGGTGTACTTCTAAAACTATACTTACAAGGTGAAGGGGCTGCTCTTCTGAGCTCCTCTTCTTCTGAAGGAAAAAAGCAGGATGGAAAAATAAGTGACTAAAAATCTTTTTGTCAGCCCATGATTCAAAAAAAATCAGAAGTAGGAAAAGAAAGGGAAACTACAGTAAAATGGCTTGGCAGCACCTTTAATAGACTGTTGGGAAATACACAGTCAAGTAAAAAAAAAAAAACCCCAAAAAACAGAAATAGCATGTAATATCAAAAACTAGGTAAAAATTAGACAAGCTTTTGTAAGATTTTATGTAGCTATGGAAGCTACAGATGTTCAGCAGAACAAGAATAGTTAACTGTCGAATTATGGAACATCCTCTGAATTAAAAAAAAAAAAAAAAGAAAATACATATTACATTAGATATACAAACAGAATTGATCTGAAATAGAAAGATTTCCAAACGCACTCACAAAGTTTTAATGCTTTTGTCTTTATCCTCAACCTTCTGCTTGAAAAATATGCCAGCATGACACTTTTTAAAAATACTTCAAGTAAGAAGTTCTATACATCCTTTTTGTCCAAAGATAACAAGGAGACTATAAAAATTAAAAATTTAACTATCAGATTTATTGGAATACCACATACCTTTTTTGTTTCCCAGGGGTAGATTGGTACTCAGTAAAGATGCAAAAGAGCTTTGTTTTGACAGCTGAGCCTTAGCTGCTAGTGCATTATTCCACAGTGCTTTTATAAGCATTGAAGCCAAATACAAGGTCTATAAACAAAAACAGATAACAGTGCCATTGAGAAGCAGAAGGTTTTGTATGCAAAAATCCACCGTTAATCTCTCTATATGCCAATACTACAGTTCACCAAAATAAATGCATCAAAATAAATGAATGCAAAAAATAACATCGTGTGAAACACTTTTAAACTTCAGACATGAAATCAAAATCTTCTGTCAGTGGTTATGCAGTCTTCAAAAACCTCTGAAGAAGATTATAATTTAAAAGCCAGAAAAGGCCAACTTGAAGAAACATGACAACTTTACTCTTACAGTTTCCTCTCTCACACATTAGCAAATATTATTTTTACACTCATTCCTTTAGAAAGACAAAGACAAATCCATAATGCTTGTTTAGTATACATAATTTATTGGCTTGTAACAGTGCTTTTGTTTGCCTTGTCTTTACCTGTTCAGTGTGAGCACTTGGATGAAGAGTTGACACTAGGTTAAGAAGATGTCTAAGTGGGACAGGGTCCAAGTTTTTGATCAAAGAAGGAAACAAATCATGTATGTAACGACTGCAATGCTTTAGCTACAAAATACAAACAAACAGAAAAGATAACAGGAACAGCAAAATAAACTTTAAAAAAAAAAATCAAAGATTGATAAAATTGCAGTAAACATCTTTCTGCAAATTCTCAGCACTTGTCCAACAATTCCAAGCTACAGCAGAATTGCGATTTTGACTAAACTTAATTTTTGTATTGTAAAGCACGTAAAGTTCAGTGAAATAAAATGTAACAGTATCTTCCTTAGTTTCAGCTCTAAGAGATTTGTTGAAAAGAAGAACTGGAAGTCTATTTTGTGTTTTAACTTAAATATAACTTCTAAAATATTAGTGTATACGCTAAATCCTGAGGGAAATTATATTTGCAATGATTACCTTATTAGCAGTGGTAAATACAAATAAAGACATTACAGGCTAATATGAGACTGAGAGAACAGACTGTGTGAACTGTATAAGGATTATTTATAATTCTGTTGTCTTTCCCATAATGGATGTCAAAAAATATGACAATGTGTTTAGCTAACTACTCTGTTTACACATTAAAGTGACAGCGCTCCTAGATGTTTCCTCTTAGGTTAAATGCTGCTTTTCATAATCACTCAAAGAGTTTCATTATGTTTGTAAGGAAGTTGATATTAAAAAATAAAATAATAGTTACAGGAAGCTTCTAGAAAAAACATTCTTAATGTCGGTTACCACATATGCACCTCAAAAGGGGTTTGTTCATTCTTTATTTTATTTTGCCTTCTTGGTATATAACACATGTGTCGGCAGTTCATGGGGTACAGGCTTCTTTCACAGTATTCAAATTGGAATGAAATTATGTGGGCTCTATACAAGGATGCATTTAAACATCTTGACATACCTGCTTCAACTCAGAGAAGATAAATTTTTTGACAAAGGTTAGTTTAAAAACCAAAATATATTTATTTATCATATTTATTAGAAAATATATTCTTTAAGGCCTTTTATTATTTTAATCTAAAGTTGCCAGTCTTTTAAACAACATTAGAGGTTTAAACCTTTTACAGGAAATAATCAGGACATACTTAATTCTGATACCAAACATTTATATTCTGAAAATATCAGTATGTCAAAATGAGTATGTGACCTGTAAAAGAATTATTGCACTTGGGTAGTTACATCAAGTTCTTAAAACAAAATAAAAGAGACAAAAAATCCAGAGGTCTAACACCAGTGTAAGTTACTGTACGTGTGAAAAGATCAAGGAAGGTAAAATATCACTTTAAAAACTTAAGTGAAATAAGTAGTTATTAACTACTCTGATACAGAAAATTGCTGGAGCCTATTAGAGTGAATCCTGTTATAATGAGCATTTATTAACATACCAGCTGCCTGTTATGATGACAATGGACTACAAAGGTTTCAGAATGCATATACAATAGTATTTGACTAAAATAAATTACAGAGAAATATTGAACACACACACACACACCCACACACCCCCCTTCAAATCCTAACTTTTATCTTTTATAAAAGCATGCTCCCTGTAGCTGTTCAAAAAGATTAATTTTATTTCTCTGACCTTCATTTTGAGTGTATTTTTCAGAAAAAATGACTGAAAAGTTGAGGGTCTTTTCTGGGTTTTTTGTCGTGGTTGTTTCGGGTGGGGGGGGGGGAATGTTTTGTTTTGGTTTTTTTTATAATAAAGGAAGCATGAAAGCATGGACTTCCACAACAGGAAATCAAAATGTCTACTGCATAGGCATATATCCCCTAAATAAAAAATTTCACAACCTAAAATAAAAACCACAGGAATCCATTAAAAGTAGCAAACAAATATATCTTTCTGAAGGAAAAAAGCCTATCAGAGCTTCCAGGTTTACCAAGCAAAAATAAAATCTCAGTGCGGTCCATAGATTTTAACACCAGCACTGTATCACAGCTGTAAACTTCATTGCCACAATTTTAATCCGATTGTTCCCACCATGGGTAACAGAAATGGAAGCTACAAGACATAGGAGCAAGGCAATTTAGTACAATAGTAAAAACATTACATCTACCCTACAATCTTCATCCCCATTCTTAGTGAAAACACTATGTCTCTGCTATACAACTTGGGTTTTTTCTTGTATAAAAGTAGCCTAGGCGAATTCTTGCCCCTAATGAAGAATCACTAATTGTGGCAGATACCAAACTTTAAATTTTGGTCAGCAAAACACTAGACAGACAAGAAAAAGTAAGAAACTCAGCTCTATGAATATAGAACAAAATCAACTTGCCACTTCCTGTTTTCTTATCACTCCCACAATTATAAAAATTTTATATGTACCTGTGCTGCAGCCCAAATACAGTCTATATGTTGAGTACTGAGTCTTCCTTCAGCTGCAAGAAAATTCAGAATCACTTGGCACTGTTTGATGATCTGCAAAGTGAGAACACATTGAGGAAAGATTTACTAGAACAAGAAGTTACTCCATGTTTATACTAAAAATACTAATTTTATACAAACCTCAATATGTAAATTTGGTCCAAAAATGTGCTCAACTACATTGTTGCTGATAAGCCAGTCTGCAAGCTCTTTTGCAATTGACCTAGAGTTGAAAAGAAAGTGAAAACATATATAAAATTAATAAAATATATGATTAATATAACACAAAACCATAAATTAATATATACACTGTGCTCTTCCCTAGCACAGCATGTCTTTCAAATTAATATCCATAACTGTAGTAAGCATACAAAAACTTTTTTGAACACAAAGCATACTCAACATTCGTTCATTCAAGCAGGAAGCAAATTATTTCCGTATTTTTTTCTTTAGCTGGAAGACTAATGTCAAATATCAACATTTCCCACTCACCCCTCTGGATCATCAGCAAACACGTAACCAACAACTCTACCAATTTTATTAGTTAATAGAGCTCAACAGACCACCTGCAGACCACTTTCAAAGACCTCACAGGTAAGATTTGGATAAACACTGCTATTTAACCCAAGTTTATAATGAAATTCCAGAACTACTGAGTTCACAAACGTAGCTAAAGGTGGCAGAGATAACAATTATTTTTTAAAGCAGACCACTTAAATATTTCTCGATTCTCCTGCATAAATAGCAACTCATACAGCTTTAAATACCTGTTTTGCATGGTTATACTTACACACATGTGGCACACATATACTTCAAAACTGTAATTTTGTTTCATCCATAACAATAGGGAACTTTACCCACTACCAATCCATAAGCAACCATTCAAACAGAACAGGACAAGGAAACTGAATTTTCCAATCTTCCAGAGAGGACTGCCCTGCCTAGAAACTAGTGCATAAGCTCCTTTTTATTCCTTCCTTTCAAGCAAATGTTTGTTTACCCACATTTTAGCACCAGAAGCAGTTATAGGACATTACAGTATTTAAAGCACAGCTTGTAGTTTAAATGGCCCTGAAATAAAAGCGCTCTGTTTCAAAAGAAGAGGATGGGAGGGAAGGGGTGTCTTAGAAGACTACAGGAAGAATTATTTTTACCACTGCCATCTGTGTCACATTTATGGTCACTACTAAAATTCAAGGATTGCCAATTTTTATCAACTGCAATAAGAAAAGAAGATTCTTTAGGTAAAAAGAGATTGCCTTAGTAGGTTTTCTAAACAGGGTTCATTTTTTTGCGGTGTGTTGCCAGTTTTCAATTGTTTTGAATTGCCTGATCCCTATGGATGAACTCAGCATAGTTCATCTTACTCAACACACAACGTTCCTATACTGTCCTCTTCTATTCCATTTCCAGGACACAGGGAATCAAATATTCTTATATTGTACAAAAAAGATAATGTCCCCTAACATTTAAGTAACAAATGGCTTGCAAGGTACAACAATTCATCAACAGTATCATTTATGGCTCATTAATAAATTACTTCTCATACTCTAAAGTCACTTTGACAGGGTATCTGCTCAGAGAGGGATAAAAAAAGCTAAGCCAGGTCTGTTCCATCGAATCCAGATCTACTTAACTTCCTACAGCCCAATTTCAAGCCAAAACCAGAACCCAGACAAGCACTTCCAAAACCCCAAAGATGCCTACCCCAAACTAAACTTTGGAGCATGCACATTACAGACTCATTCAGGGCTTGGATTTTTGTCTAATAAAATCTGAAGTAAGACCTCGTCACGTGTGAGCTGTGATCCTGCAGATTTTACAGCTAAAGGAACTTTATTTATTTGAATACATGTTACCAGTCTCCTTTAGCAACAAACACGGCTCTAAAAATGCTCTTATCCCCCTGCCTCCATGCTGACAAGCATAAGTGACCACAATGGCATTGCTCACATAGCTCTAGAGATTATAGCTCTGTTACTTTTCATTTTGTCAGACAGCTGGCAGACTTGATCTTACAGATTCATCTTAAATCACAAGTGCCCAACCCACGCTCTGAACACTGAATGCCGCCTGGAAAAAAATACCTTGAACTTACGGCCTATTTGCCCCCAGCTCCTTCTTACAGCTTTACATTGCTTCCCCTTGATGTGGGCAGAAGTGCTCTTGCTATATGACCAAAATATAAGCAGAAAACCTCATAGTTTGCATTTTGCACGTAGAAAAGGTAGACAGATGTGGTCACGTGAGTGAACGTACGTCCACTAGATGTGGGAGACCTGAATGGATGCAATTCTGGTTATGGAATGTGAAGAGAAAAAAAAAAAGATATGGTCCGCCATAAGAGGCAAAAGCCTTAACACCTGGGTCATAAGTCAATGGAGGTAATTTTGTTCCAGGACCACTTAATTTCTTCTTGGATCTGAATTTTTAAACCTGTGGCTTTCAGAATGAATCCCAGATAAAAACTGCCAGATCCACTAGGTGATGTCAATATGGAAGGACATACTGCTCAGTGTGTCTCTCTAAACCAAATACTTCTGCTAGTGGCACCATGTCCATTAGACATTGTATCCATAGTCACATGTTGTATTTTACCTACTGCAAAGGAATGAACAAAAACTCCCTTACAGAATGAGATCCTTCAAATTTTGTTGAATTAGTATGGCAGTTCTCTATCTCTAATCTGCAACATTTTTCTTCTGAGAAATAATGGATTATTCTTTTGAAGGAATGCCTTTTCTTAATAGGTGTATTCTCAGAGGTGAAAACCTCTTTATTCTACTGGTGAGCTCAACTGTGATAAAATGACATCTCAGATTTCTAAAGGTAAATATTCATTTGATATGGATTTGTTGAGGATGACCAAAAACAAATGGATCCTTGTGACAGGTAGAATGAAGCCTTTGTGTTTCCCAGAGAGAACTGTTCCTCACAGAAAGTTTTGCTGAGGGCACACCAATCACTAAATATACTGCCTTTTAAAATGACAAAGTTATCACCAGCACTAGGTATTTTGTTCTCTGATATGCTAAGAAATATATTTATGATAGCAGATCCAAGGAATCACCAAAGAAACATAAATTCAGTGTAAATGAAGGATGTCTGACTTATTTCCTTGACATTTCCTTTTCGGGAAAGGTTTTTTTTTGTCTGGTGGTTTTCCAGCTCCTTGGTAAGTTTCCTCAATTTCAAACAGACTGAATACCTTAACTGGTAAGCAATTCCAGAACCTCATATAAACAAAAACAAGTTTGCCAGCCTATGAACAAATTAATCTATGTTTTCAGTTTGTATATTGTCACTTATCCCATTTTTACTTTAATAATTATCAAAAGCTCTTGGGAAATTTCAGATACACTCAAGTTTATAAAAATTCACTGAGTTCTGAGTTGCCCCACTAAGCACAGCAACCTAGAATAACTTTTAATTAAAATATTTAAAATATAATTTTTAATATTTTTCAATGCAGTTTGATTTATAGCTATGTTAAAATTTCTTTCATACAGTCTGTACTTTTGGTAATTCAAAAGTATTTTTTCATAGAGCAATTTTAAAATTATTACATGACTGCTACTACAATTCAGGCAACTTAGCAAGAACTCAGTTTTCGGTAAAAGTATGCTCAAATTTTCTTTTAAAAGAAGTTCTTCAAAAGGTTATGGAACATTTTTCCTCCTTCATACTGAAGGTAACAGTGAGAGTGAAAAACATGCATAATGATCAATGTGTAGATATGCTTTTTCCTCTAACACGAAAGTAGCAGTACAAAGAATGGTTTTACAAATTAGATCTCTAAGTCATACAGACCTTAGTAGTAAGAATATTCACCTTGGTAATAACACATATTAGCTATTTTTCATGGATTTAGTAATTGGGATAGCAAGAGGAAAAGTCATTTGAAGACCACAATACTCTGCAAGTGCGTGCTGTGGGTGAGAGTGAGGGAGAAGGATAAGAGAATGTAAAAGTAAGGGTAGCAGCTACTCTAGTCTAATTGTCTCTAAATCCTTCTCACTGAAATCTATACAACATATTAGACTACCTGATCTCTAGACTTAATCAATTTCCCCCTAGACTTTTAATTTCAATTCACTGACAATTCATGTCTGTCAAAAATAACTGTTTTACTCCACGAAATTAAATTCAAGCACTTTTGGTACTAGTTTCCCCCGGCATTCCATGAGACTGCAGGGAAGAGAGTAGACACTACGCAGTTTCTGATATAACCTGATGTTTGCTAACCATACTTATGAAAGAGGAGTACTAGAGCCTGAATTTTGTTTATTATCGTAAATAAAACTAACCAGAAGGAAACTACAGTTTATGCATTTTCCTGGTACGTCAAAGAATACCTCTCAAATAAGAGGACTGGGTTAAAGTCCTTGAAACATTTTAATCTAAGGCTGTGGTGCAATACTTGGTAGCCACATGATGACCCAGATCCAGGAACAAATCCCACAGCAAAATAACCCCCCAAAGAAAACCTTATTTATCCAACTAGTCAATTCCCAACACAATTCACCACGCAGCTACAAAAACACACCAGCTCAGTACTGGATGAAATACAACAGCAAGTCATCAACGTCACTGAAAAATGTAATATAAAACCTTAAAAGAAAAAATATAGCAATATGATGAGCAGCTTGCAAAGGAGGAAGACTAACATTTCTTGTCAAAATCACTGAAACAGCATCTACAACACAACAACGGATGAGAAACACTGATCTCAACTATTTAGGATCAGAAATGCAAAGAAGATATAGCAGGCACCTTCTCAACACACATTCAAGCACACGTTTTTGTTTATGAGCACACATTTTCTTATTTGACACCCCATAGGCTACAAAACCACCACTCTGACACTATCTTGAATATTTATTAAACTACTGTGTATGGCACTAGAACGATATATGCCATTAGAAAGAAACATTAATGCGCTGAGTGAAAAACTCTATTACTGTCTTTTGCAGAGAAAATCTGAAAAGATCCCTGAAATGTGGAATAGAGAGGGAGGAAAAGATGTTTAAATGATGTTGCCATAAATTCAGTTGGAAAGCTTAGACAAAAATTGAGAAGGCAAGAGCCAACCTGAGCTAAGAGAACAGTGGCAAAATGAAAAAGCAGTACAAAACTTGAAGTTTAATATTATTTAACAATAATAAATAAAGAGAGGGAAAAGAAAGGAGAAAAAATAGTCCAGATCTTTCTGTTCAGAGGTGAAAGGAATTTTGGACACCTGAAATTACTCTGTAGGAAGCTTTTTAACTGATGGTAATCAAGTTTTTAAATGATGCGGGATGTTGTCTTAGCATCAATCTGAATTCTGAAACTCAAATTCTTGGCTGCCTTCCAAGTGAAGAGTGAAACAGAGTATCTCTTTACACACTCTATTTCCACAAGCTGACAGTGTCCTCATTAAGGAAGAAACAATACTTCTTCCTCTTGTGGTCCAAATAGCACAAAAAAACCACCAAAAATCTTTCCCTCCCTGAAAGGCATAAGCATTTTTCACTAACTTACATCAGCAAAATAGTTTTAGGAATCACTGTTCAAAGACTTGGGGACTCTTCTGTTTAGTCTCCTTATTTTTATCTTCAATAGATTTCATATTCTTCAGTACCTCTGACTGCAAAGAATTTGATTCTATCTTAACAGCCAGGAACAGATAAATCAAAAGTATATCTCTGGGGATATTATGAAGTTGAGTCACTGAGACATTGCACATATCTGGACAATACACATATTCAGTCACCACAAACCCTCAACCCTAGAGAAGACAGTCGAGTAAACTGAATCTAAAAAGACATACAAATACCTACAGCTAGAAAACAGATTTCTCTATCTTAGCTTTCTGCTGCTTTCAAGTGCAAATTGTGAAATCCAATGTGTTCCTAGACAGAAGATGTTGGTCTTACCATGGAAAAACTTGCAACCATGCGGATAAAGGTGGAAAGCTACTGTTGCAAAATACTTGCTAAAAAATCCTGATGATACTTCCAAACAAAAGGGAAGAGCTAGGACTAAATGATAGCTCTTTAAAAAAAAAAAACCAAATCAAACCAAACCAAAAAAAAAAAAAACCAAAAACAACCTCCCGCAAACCCACCTTATCAAGATACAGAAGGAGAAATCCCAAAGGTTGACAGTTCCAAACGCTTCTGGAAAAGTCAAAACACATAAGGGGGATGACCAGACATAATGTAAAACGTCTTCCTTTGATACATCTGCAGAGGCTACAAAGGTACAAAATATATCTTAGACTTCCTTTATCCACTAAGGAAAGAAAATAGGAATGAAAAGCTTTCCTTTTGCTGCTCATTCAAGTACTGCCAACTCCGTAAGTGCCTTCTCATCCAAAAATTTCTCATGAACAGTCTCTCTAATGAGAGGGAAGCTTTGTACTGAACAAGCTGTCTAAGTGAAAGATTTTCCCCATCCTTCTGCACCAACCTTTTGTGATTATTCATCTGGAAGAAATCAGTGATTCCAAAAGGTATCTGAAGATGAGCAGCAATACTTGATCCTGACTTGTACCCAACTTTTTAGGTAAAACATAAGAATGACTGGCATTCAGATTAAAAAAAATCACATACTACAAAAGTGGTAAAGAACGTCTTCTGTTCATGCTGCATTCCTTTCAAATGACAGGCTGTTTACAGATGCCCTTGCCAAGAAAGTAATATCCCAAATGAGAATTTGACAATTTCCTTCAGCTTTAAAATAACTCTTGCATAGTACATCTGCTCTGCGCAAGGAAATTTAAGCACCCTTCTCTTTTTTCCCCTGTTGATAACTTTCCTTTTTTACATTTGACACAGAAAATTAAACAGCTTTTTATTACGCTTAACTGGCAGAATAACTTCTTGTTATTGTTCTTTAAGTGGTTACTACTAGTTAAAAACTATTTCATTCACTATGTGTTTCAGAATAAACACCTCAGTTTCAGATTTTCAACATGAAGGAAGGAAGGAGAAGATTTAGATAAAATTGAGGTTTGGCAGTCCCCAGCAGAATAATACGCCATAAACTGGCGGTACAATATTGAAAATACCCCAGCCCACCAACCCACCTCACATACTCAATGTGTTATGCTCCTGTAGTTATTTCCTTCTACTGCTACAGAACTAGAGGCTTTGGAAAAAACCCAACACCTCTCCCAGGACACAAAATATACAGGTAATAATTATATAAAAGTATGCATTGTATTAGTATTATATTAAAGTAATAAATGTGTTATTACATTTATTACAATAATGCAAATCTTCTTAAATGTACATGAGCTTAATAGCATTACATTCAGGTTTTATCAGATCATAGTAAGATATCTGTGTCAGACTTGAAGAGAGTCCTTTAATTTTTTTCTGACACTATGCAAAATTTACTTTGAAATAAATGGATAGCATGGATTCATGTTCACCTATTAATTTAGTGAGAAAGTACAAGAAAAAGCTGATCACAAGTGGTTATTTGCTTTGTATTCTCAAGGTATTGTCACACCTATATGGAAGCAAAACTGGCCTAGATTCTGATTCTTTATTTTTAAAATATCACCTATTACCATAAATCTCACTTCAAATGTTCAAGTTGTTATTTACATGAAATCTACAGTATTGTGGTCTTGACTGCTGCCAGATTTCAAAAAGCAGGTGTTAAAATAAAACTATCTATAATAGAACTACCCAGGCAAAAAGGCAAGCCAACTGCTGCTGTAACAGACTCCTTATTAATGAGCAAAAGACAGTGGAGAGTGTGTGCCTGTGTTGAGACAAATATCCACATGGATACAACCACCAAGATAAAGGTAAAGAGTGTATCACACTCCAAGATAAACGTAAAGAGTATATCACAAGTAAAATACTAGATTTTGCCTATTATTTCAAAAGAACGGTTATTTCAACTACCTGAAGACATAGACAGTTCTAACATTAAGTCTAGAGTTACTACAAAAACCAATACATTTTCTTACTGGAATACAATCCCACACATTAATCTTCTTGAAGATTTTTGGGAGTCCCCTTTGGAACTGTTAAACACACCTGAATTATACAAATAAGGAGTTTGAAGAGAAACAATAAATAGCATAACCTCACAGAGTCAGAGGGAAACTACTAACAAGGCTGGGAGCCAGCGATGACAAGACCAGTCTTAGTCAACTAAATAATCAGGAGAAATGAGAAGACGGCAAAAATACTACTCAGATATGTATTAGCTGGTTCTTATTTATACATCACAATGGAGATAATGGCCCGTTATAGGTATTTATTATTTCAGTATTTACATTTTTCAACTTGACTCTTACCTTTTAGGACATGAAAAAGTCCAGAAACGTTTAGAAGTATTTTAAAGTTACCATTTAAAACCATTTATTAAACCCCAATTAGAACATTTCTCATAAATGCCTTGGATTACCACTACTCCCCACTGTGTATAATCCATAACAACAATACAGAAGAACTGCAATCATATAGTGCACTTTAAAGTATTCATAGTAACGCTCCTACTTACGTTTCTGTGTCTGAAACTAATGACTCATTATTACACACATCATTGAAGGTATGGAGCTGGTTCTATAGTTAGAAAAAGGAAGAAAAAAATTAAAATTTTATCTAAAAATAAACTTCAGTAAAGAGGCAGTCCAAATTTCTGTAAGTTTTGCTTCAGATTTCACACTCAAAGTTGCACAGACTTGGCAATTAAAATTGTTCCAGGCAAGGCATACAAAACCAAATGAAACAAAATGCTTCTCAAACTGAAAAGTCAAACAAGAAAAATCAAAAGATGCTTCTTCCAAATATACCTTCCTAACATCGTTAAAAAGAGAACTAAAGAAGAGAAAATTTCCTGTTATTTGAATAAGAATAAATTGTCTCAGCGTTCCAGAGCAGTTTTAGAGACTATTCATATTAAAAAAAGACTCAATAACTTATTAACATACAATATTCCATTTTTTTACAATCTGAAATCTGTTTGCTTTAGTCTAAAAATATGGTAAAATTTTGCTTCTGGTAATACATGTCTGCTATTAAAAATCTCACTTTTCCAGTCATATTCATCAATCATAACAGGTCAAAACATAACTACTTAAAATGACACAATTTCACATTCATTTAAATGAACTACAAGCCTGAAAAAATAAAAAAACCCCATGCATTCTTACTGTCATGCTTTCTTTTTGTGAGGATACACAAAAAGGCATGCATTAGTAGTTGAAGAAGGACAACTGTACAAAACCAAATGAAAGCATTTATAGGAATAAAAATCTAACATAATTTAAACTATGCAAACATTGGAAATTTACTTAAAATAAATGATACTCAAAATGGCATTTTCCAAAACTGTGCAGAATAAAAAAGGGAAGTTACTATTACGCCCAGTTAATGGCCATATTTTAAAATGTATCTGCTATATATTATGAGATATCCATAATATGATATATCAATAATAAAGCACATGGCAATGAAAAATCAAAAGAAAAGTATATATTATATTTTCACCTAAGACTTCATCAACTTTCTGAAGTTTCTTACTACACAAAAAGAACCCTGAATATTCACTTTACACTCATTAAGGCAGAAGATTATAATTCAGGCACTGAGTATATTATATGTAGCATTCATATGAAGTCATATAAATTACTTATGTATATAAATTATATTTACAGTAATGTCACTATTTCTTCCCAAAGTTAACCTACTCTATATCTTGCTTTAGCACCTCTACTGGATTAACTGCATTACGTTTTCATTCATATAAACACAAAACTGAATGGACAACGCATTCAAGCCTAATAAATGCAGTTACCCTTAAAATAGCATTTGATTAATCAGTACTGAGTGGATGTAGTTCATAGACTTTTTTGAGTGATACTATGTAATAATCAGAACAGAGAAGGCAAAATGTGTTCAGAAAATACTACAAAACTTAAGGAGAACATGTCTGTACATTCTAGTGTAGTTTGTTCCTATTCATCATTTTGTGCATTAAGGCAAACATGGCAATATGAGCTATAAACCTTAAATACAGGAGTGTCAGAAGAAACAAAAACACTGAAAAGGCTCAGATGAATAAAAAAGTTCCCTTTTGACCTTCTGTACAACTGTCTCTCTATGGCTATAATACACATGTAGGAAGAAGTGACAAAGGATGCACAACATATCTTGACTAGTGCAATGTGGAATGCTTCCATGGGAAAGATTAGGGTGGGCGGGTTTTTTGTTTTAATCTATTTCTACTTGATGCTATATATATTTAAGTCTTCAGCACAGTCTTCTGCTAACTAATGCAGAAATACTCTCTCTTGAGAAACAGACTATACTAAACAAACAGGAAAAAGAGGTATGCACAATACAAAGAAGCAGCTAACTACAGCAGAGTCGAGACACAGTTAAGGTAAAAATAAAACCAGATTGAAAGTCTTTCTAAACACCAAATATAGCCATGTCAAGGAACTTAATTTCAACATAGCTGTCACAAAATATGGTTATAAGAGTTTTGTTTAGCATGGCAAATTGTTCAGGAAATATTACAGTCCCTTATGCTGAAGAACACAGCCATCACTTGGACTTATCTCTCAGTGAACCCTATATTCACAGTCATGGATAAAATTTCCTAAGACTGCACAGAAGAGGATTCTGCTGTTTTCACACATTAAAAAAGCCCCCCAAACAAGTCCATAACTTATAAAACACAAAAAAATAAACATTTTTTTCTAAATATTGTTTATATTTTTAAAAAGTTCTTACTGTTATTTGACTCAGCCCAGCCAATCTCATTGTTAGAGTTGGAGACATAAAGTATTTAAACGCAAGATCAAGACTTTCTTTATCAAAACACAAGGCTGTATCCAATGGTTCTTTAACTGTGCTCCACATTAAATCTGCCATGTTCCGGGCTGCACTCTGTCGCAACTCCTGGTCTGACAGTTTACATAAATACCTAGAATAAATTACAAATGGAAGAAAAAAAAAAAGGGTATGATTCAAACTAGAACGTTCCTGCAACATCATGTTGATTACAGCAAATATACATTTCCAATAGCTGTAAGAGTACTAAGCCTTGAAATACCACTACCAAAAGTTGGCAACAATAAAAAAAAAAACAGCGGAAAAACAGAATTGTACAGATTATTTTTAAAGGTAAATACATTTCTTATTTTAAACCTTTTCAGATTTCTTCAATTCCACAAAATGAAAGGAAACCCATGGAGTACTCTGAAAATGTAGGTTGGAAGCCTAAACCTCGTACCTGTTTCATGGAAAGGTGGCCTTTCCAGATAGATGCATCAAGTCTATTTATTTTCTTTAAAACTGAAGTGTCACAATGCACTTAACATTATTAATACTTTTTAAAACTTAATTTCTGTCAACAGTGTCAATGGACCACAAACAGCATGATCTGACAGTTAGAATCCTCTGAAGATGAATATGTTGCTGTTTGGTTACAGAACAGAAAAAACACAATTACGCAAACACGTTCTGATACAATTAGAGTAAATGCGGTACACGCACATTTTTCCTGACATCACCGTACACCATCTGTGCTTGTACATCAGTACTCCCTGTGCCGTAGTACTTCTTTCGCAACAAGTTGGGAGAGGAACACATGCCCAGGTTGTTTCTTCTATTGGCAATAATTATGACCTTTAAGGATGCATGTGAAGCATCACAAAAGATCATAGGAATCTTACATAGAAACCAAAAATGCTAAAGAATTTCAAGCCGATAAGTTCTTCCTACTTAGAACACATCTTAGATAAAGGGTCATCTAATCATGCACAATGAGTCACAATGCAGATATTCTCTGCAAATGGGGGGCAGAAGAAAGAATCATTTATAAGAACTAACTTAGAGAAGCTAGCGCAACCCCAGTCTTACCTAAGCAACTATAAGACTGAGACACACTATACTGAAAATCTATACTGAAATGCCAGTAAAGTTCACATATGAAACACTGACACAGTTGAGAATTTCTTCTAAACTGAATACAGAAGAGAAAGATGTTCAGAAACAAGTTTGCCTGAGCTTATTTTGAAGTAAAGATTGCACAGTGAAAGTTACATATATACAAGGTTAGCATAATTAATTTTTTCTGCTGTATTTCAGCATTTTGAAGTTTCAAGTACATCCCAACTAGATTTCACTACACAGAAATGCATTAAAAATCCATTTGTTTGACAGCCTAAGCCTGGATCTACCCACCCTTGGAGACTTGCTAAACAGAGGCATGTATCTTTTAAAAAACACAAGAGAGATTAAACTACACTTAACTGGATTTATGCAGAATTCCTTTGCATTTACATCATATAAAAATCAGTAATTTTTTTAAAAAAAGCAAAAGTACAGGCCCTGATTCTTATTTAGATTGAGGCTCTTTTTCACAGCTCTTGTGCAGAGGTCTTAAAACAAACACATTTAAGTGACACTTAACATTGTCAAACTAGAAAAGAGACTTCAGTCAAAGAGGCTGTAGATTTATAACAGAAATCACTAATCAGTAACAGTAGAACAAAAGAAGGACCACTGAGGGCCAAGGCAACCAGATCCTGCACTGTTACTAATTGTGAAATTTGTCTTCTCGCATGGAGCAATGGAAATCAGATAATGGAAAGAAAGTAATGCCTCTGTGCGATGATTTCTAAACAAAAGAAAAGTGGCAACAAGAAGCAAACACTCATTTGAACAAGTTCAGCAGCAAACCAGACCCAGTGACCTATCTTTAACCTACAGACAGGTGACAGGAGTTACACTCTGATGAAAAAATGCATTGGTCCATGTTAAAACATAATAATCTCAATATAACTATCAGCAACCTCAGACCAGTATTTATCTCCCCATTTTTATATGCAAACTATATTCAGCCCTAATTCCCAAAGCTCTTCAATGTTCATAATGCACATTAAGTGACACTCAACTGTTTTGTGAAGGATTTCTAAAGATCTCAAAGATGTTAAAATAAATTATATTAATTTTCTCATGCTACATATGACAGACAAAGAGTGCTTGTATGCAACAGATGGGTGGGAATGGACACAGGTCTACATATACAGAAAGAAGGGTGCTTTTGTGGCTTCACTAGATTTCTGTAATAGGACTTTCATCTGAAATCTTCCTCACACTAGAGTTTGGTAAAGCAACTATACTAGTCTAGTTTATATAACAAAACATTTTTTATTTTAATGCAATAGTATCAGTATAAACTTACTTTCAGTCCTAAAATCCACACTACAACAAGATTTTTAAGATTCTTTCAGTGCACTTACTGTATTTAGTCCAAGCCTGAATCACTTGTGTAATGTTTTCTGTATTAAAGTATCATCAGGAGACAGTGTTTTAAAAAAATCCCACTTTGTAATAACTGAAACTACCATGTAGGTGCATTTTCACAGCTACAGAAGTTTTCCAATAGTATGACCTGTTTTGCCAAGGCCCTAAAGAAAGATAGAGAGAGAAGTGCACTTTTTACTTGTTAACTTGCATCCCAGTTTTGGTTTTTTTTTAATGCAACTGGGTTATTCTGACCAGGCACAGTATAAATGTAGAAGATACCATACCTGCCTTTACGAGCATAACTGCATCTGCTCTAAAAAATTTAGTGGCACTACTATATTGGTCATAAAACAAATACGATCGTATCTTTACTACCAGGTTTAAAACAACAGAAACTTGCAGAGTAGGCCAAGCCTCATTTTTATTGTGGAAAGATACAGTGATCTAAGACCACCTGTCGCAGTAAAGTGGGTCCATTTTATGCTTTTACTAGCAGAATATAATTTTTAACAAAAAAAAAAATCTGTACCTAGCACTGGAAATTAACACGTTTGCTTACACTGACCAACTATAAATTTGCTGCACTGCCTTACTAAGAACAGTGATACTGGAGGAAGGCAAAAGGTCTATTTATCCCAAAATAGCTACTCTAAAAGCAGATGAAAGACATATCCCATATATAAAAAAATGGATGAACCTACCTATTACTGTGAATTCAGTTACCTCTTTCTATTTTTACTTTTAGCTTTCTTATGAACCTATGCTAGTTAGTTTCACAATTATTTTTGCGTGAAAACCAATCTCCTTTAATTTCTCTTAAGTCTGCAACCTGACAATTGTATTGCATGTTCTCCATTTCTTGTTTTTGAAAAACTGTGTATTCTCATTTCCTATTTATTGTCTTCAGATCACTCACATAACAGCCACCTCCCTGTCAAAAAAATATAGTAGACTATGTCTCTCCTCATATCAATGTAATTTTTTCTCTCTTACCTTCTTCATCACCTTTCCTATCACCTAGGTAGTTCTGTTATCATCTCTGTGAGATGGAACGATCAAAACTGCATATAAATATGAATATGTGACCAATTCATATAATGGCTTAATAATGGCTTCCATTCTGTCCTTTTAAAAAAATTCCTAAATTTTTGTCATTTTGATTCTGATGAGCATTAAGTCTTAGAAGAATATATCAACAATACTTCAAGATCTGTGTGATCTAGTAAATCTGACAGTTTTGCCTAAATTAGATATTTGGAAAGAAACACACTTTTTTTTTTTAATACATATACATAAAGGATAGTCTATATATGTATAGGACCTGTCCTGCTGTCTGGCATACTTAATCAGTAACTATGTATTATCTAAATTTAAGCAACGCATACACATGAATTTTAAAAAGTCAGTTTTAGTTGACTGAAACTATTTAAATTTGCTGTATGTGTGGATAGAGAGAGTTTAGTTTTAAATGTGCAGTTCCATGCTAATGTAACGCTCACAATCACATCTTATGCTTCAGGACTTCAGCTACTCAGCTGTGAAATAATCTTTTTTCCCTTAATATGACTCCTTTGGACCACAGCTTCAAAAGAAGTATCAAGCAGAATGAGTCAGTGCCCTCAGTGGGCAGAAGATACAAAGAATTCATTAAAGTGCCTGACTATTGTCTTCTGACTTACCTATCCTTCGTACCTACTGCATAAATTGTCAGATTTTTGGAGGAATGAAGTACTTTTTGCAACTGAAAACTTCAAAGCTTATTAACAAGAGTTTTTCATTACATTTAATAGCAAGGAGTGGTCACGGGCACTCCCATAAAACCCAAATTCTTAAGAAAAATATTATTCAAGCAGAAGAGTAATTTGAATCCTTTCAGCTGCATTCTCTCACTCTATGCTACAGGAAGCATCGTGGATCAACACTTCCGTTCGCAGCTTCCACTTCCTCTGCGTATACCAGTGCTATGCTTGTGCCCTGTGCTGAGACCACAAGGCTAACGCAGGAGCAACTGCCACTTGCAATTTCTTCTCAATGTGCTTGAGAACACAATGTTCTGTTTTCTCCCTAACTGGAGCAGAGACATGAATCCTTCATAAAATACTTCTCAAGATCCATCTTGAAGCAGGGGAGAGGAAAAAGGGAGAGGAGGAAAAAGGACTAGAACTAAATATTATATTGGTCAGTGCTAATGCTACACATAGCTCTCAGATTTTACCAGAGGAACATTAAGTAGGTGATACCAACTGTGATATCAAAGAAAGATGAATGTCAAGTCTTTTCCTTTGATGGTTTCTAGAGGCACTTACAATATCAGGCATACAACTTTATCTCTTCCTTCTCATAAAAGTGGACTTGATTGCTAATCATCATCTTTCTAAAGGACAGACCTATCCATGACACTTTCAGTCAACAATCTTGCCACTGAAAAAACACTGCCCTCAAAACACCGCTCTTATAGTTACTGCTCTCTTGAGGCATTCAGTATTTGGAACCATGCAGACCATCTCTCATCTCTGATCTTGAGGTGGAAGTCAGCTGGAACCAATGTCTTTTATAAAGAGACATGATCAACACTTGCCCTCATTTATAATTGCAATAAGCTATGACTTATTTTCCTGAGTCTTTTTGTCAGTAAGTCTCTTATTTTTCCCTTAATAATTTTGCAATTTGAAACGCAGAATTCTAAGGTATTCAGATCAACAAAAGCTTTCTTCTGAGGAGGTCAAAACCACTTTGCTTCATTATAGAAAGCAAGTCCTTTATTTCTTTCCTAAACTGCTTGCCCTTCAGAGGCAAGATATGATTGCTAGTGCTCCACTCCTGAAGCAGAAAATAATACTTATTAGCCTCTTTTTGGTAGCAGCAATAATGACATGATTGTGTCCATGATCTCTGCAAATTCCAGCAGTGGTCTCCTCTACACAAATACACACTTTGCTATTCGTTTCATCCCCTCCTAGTAGAAATAACCACAGAATAGGAACATGCAGGTTAACCTCATCTGATAAAAGATGCTGCTAAGATGCTAGTCAGGTGATCTCTCCTGCTTATGCTGATCAGCACTCCAAAATGCAGTTCTTGCAAGGAATCTACACAAGCAGGAACTTGGACTAACAATCATTTAGAGCCCCCAGTGCTCATTCTATACTAAAACTCTCTCCAAGCCCTCTTTCTCACTTGGCATAGCAGCAGAAACTACTGAAGGATTTGTTTCAAAGGTGCTGTGCCCAGGATTATGGGATTATGGCTCCCTTTTTTTTTTTTACTGAAGTAAAACACAGATGGAGACCTAGAGACCCAAGCTGCTAAGACAAGATCTCTAAGTTTGACAACCACATGGGGCAAGCTGCATAGATGAAGAAAGTAATCTTTTACTGAAGGCATCTGTGTTAACTTCTATCCCATATAAACGTATAGCACTAGAGATTATTTTTCTTATATGGCCTTCAGGCTTCATGTCCCGCTCCTTAAGTGCCTCTTCACAAACAAAGCTTTGGATTTCATAATGTTGATAAATGACAGACCTCCCATTAGAATTCAGTTGTGAAAAAAGGAAACTGGGAAAACATCCCCTTCCTTCTCTAGACTACTGGTGTTTTCCATAGGTGTATCCTGTACCAATATTACCATTCTAATTGACATGAACATATTGTAAATGCTAAGAACAGACATCAAGAGCATTATTTATGGCGAGAAGCTCCTGGCAAATCACATTTTAAATCAGACACAAATATTCTACGGGTAAAGTAAAGGGAAAGAGATGAGTGGGACACAGGGAAAAAAATCCATTCATTCCACTGACCCTAATTACACCTACAGTTATAAAACAGAAAACGTTTTAAGAATTATAGGATGACAAGCAAGTGAGGATTAACAGCAAAGACTGCAGGCTGTGTTATTCTCACTCAAGTTCCTTCTTGTCAGCCTGTCTCCAGTTGTTGATACTTCAACACTCTTTTTAATCTCCACACATTTCAAGAAGACAGGTTAGGCTCATGAACCAAATTCCCAGGTACACAAATAACCATTAATGGACATTAATGTACAGAGACAAGAACTTGAAGATCTTCTGCCTAACCTTCTTAGACTGCTTCATGATTAATAATTACCTTGATAAGATTTCAAAGATAACACATCTGCATTAAAGGAGTGCACAAGGCTGGACTGTAACTCAAGAGTGATGTTTTAATACAAGATCAGGATGCTCTTCTCTCTGACGATATAATTCTGGTAGAGACCCATGTTATAGCAAGAGAGATCAATAGTCAAGCCAGTACTTAAAATTTTATAGTAAAAATTATTTACAATTAAATCCAGATCATTTTCAAATACGAAACCTAGTTCTGAGTCTCGCTGTTGTGTGCACTTTTTTGTTGCCAATGTAATTATTTTTGTTAAGAGTGTGATTTTATACTGCCATAGTTAAGACAATATAATCTGTAAAGGCACATTTATTGCTATCAGGGAAGTAAGCTATGACTAGTATAAGCACATTTCTAGTATTACAGTTACAGGAAATTGAGAACTGTGGCGGAGCTGTGGGCCCATGCAAGAGCCATGACCTTTTAGGTGGTCTGCACCAGAAAAGTTTAATGTTGGCCCACTGGAAGGAGAATTAGCTGTGACCACACCCCTCCACCTCCAGGCACATACACATGATACTTTCATCACAAACTCATTGGATTTTTTCTATTGTCCTAAGAAAGCCCACAAAAATAAATTGCTTGCATAATTAAATATCTTCATAAGCACTTAAATTTAAAAGTGTTTTTCATGATAAGCAGCTTGATACAAAGAAAATCTTTGGGACTGGATATATTTAGATACATAAAAGGGCGAGTGGATTTTTGATCACACTTAAGCTCCTCCCAGCTGGAAACAACATAACATTAAAATGTGAAGCAGTCTTAAAACTCAGTGAACTAAATATTGCTCTTCTACTTAGATTGTCTCACTGCAAATTTAATGTTAGGTTTTATGAAAATACTGCAGTAGGTGAAACCATATTACAATTGAAACTGACACAACATTTTAGAATGGGACTGGATGTGACACTAAAAATGCTACTAACCAGACTGATCTGATTGACACTGAAATCAGATAAATTTAAGAGCTGCCCAAACTAACTCTAAACATTACCTTCACTCTCCTTGTTGAAATTATGCAATCAGAGCAACAACTTGAACAATTAAAAGTGTATCAGCTGAAATTATAAACAGGTGCTGTCAAAAAGTCCCACAAGAAAAATTCTTAAATTAAAAATTTACCTGATAACATAAGTCCTAAAGGGTATAATATGCTGCATGACAGCAGGGATGTGTAGCCATATTCTGATCTATAATGCAAAAACATAAATAGATAAAAATTTCATTAATGACATTTAATGAGAATGATAAAAAATACTGCTGGTACATTTGTACATGCAACCCCACTTAAAAAAAAGGCTTTGTTGTTGTTTTTCATTCAACTTCAACTCTTTCAACTTCTGAATTTTCTAATTTTCAAAGCTGTTATCTGAAGAATGTTTCTGTGACTTATAAACAGGAGTTGCACCTTTTCTTCTAGTCAACTGGAAAATACAAACTTCATATAAATAGTATCATACTGCCCAGATGTCTCACTTCTGAATCTTCTGTAGCTTCTTCAGTAGGAAAAACTGCTACTCAGCCTTGTGGAGTTTCTTTTCCTTTTAAAGTCTACAAGAAAATGATTCCATTCTTTCTATTCCTGGCAAATCTTTCCTAAATCAAATAAATTTTTTTAACTTGTGTTGATGTTTTGCTTCTTAGGACTTACATATTTTATAAAATAAAATTATGTTTTATAACCAGTGATTAAGCCCAGTTTTTTACTACCATATTTGCATTCCCATAGTTACTATTCTGCCTTTAGCACCTTTGCAAAACTGCATGCAGGAAGCAAATGTATGCAGAGAAGAAAACCCTGAAACAGCTTTTTAACACCGCTGTGAGGAAGACAGGACCAACCAAACTACTTACACAGGCAAAGTTAGAAGTTCCATCTGCATTTCAAAAAGGAATTCTGAGCCTGTTAAACCTGTTATAGAAAGACAACTACGTGCCAGGTAAGTGATCTAGCATAGATGAAAAGTTAGCAGCTGTTACTACTACTCGCATAATTTTAATCATGTGCACACACAAATCTTGTGAATAGCTAACACTGTCTGTCACTCAAACCTGTCATGTCAATTTACATCTCCCCATTTGTTCTTAAAAAGAATGTTTAATCTTTGCCACTGATGCAATAAATTCTAGCTAAGAATTAAATTCTCACAAGGATTTTGGAAAATTCTGTATGCAGAAAATCTAAATTCTCTTTCTTTCCAGAAGAGAAAAATATTAGGCTGTAGTAAACCTATATCACCAGCATTTATTCTAAACATTTCTGGAATTAGCCAAGTAACTTTTAAAGTCAGTTCTGAAAAAAATATTTTCAGACTTACTTTTTACAATACAACTAACACATTAACAATACTTAACCTATTTTGCAAGACAAACTAGCCAAATCACCACATTGCAGAAAAGGCCCATTTGGAATAAACTTCTGATCCTATTGGCAGTCTCAAGAAGAAAAATATGCTAGTATCCCAAAGACAGAAACTGTAACTAGAAGATGCTTGTCCTAGAAACAGGAATTAAATAATATTTTGGCAAGGAATTGCAAGGATGACAAAGATACTATTCTGTTTACACTATTCGGTTTTTAACACAGTGATGTGCTCTTTTTCATATGCAAGTATCAAACACAAAAGCAAATATATTTGTGAAATAAAAGTAGGAAATGTTTTTATAGCTTTCACTGTTAATAGCAATTTTCACTCTGTATTAATTCAAACTTGTAATGTCATTGTATTCATCTGTATATTTGCATTACATACAACCTTCATCCTCAGAATTGTATTAATAGATAATTTCATGTCATAAACAAAAATGTAATTTTCATCATTAACTCAAATATACTACTTTATTTAAATAAAAGGACATAAAAAATCCACAAAATTACATAAAAATTACATTTAAAATACACAACTTTCATCATGCTTTTTTTTGCTTCCACCTGCTTTTAAGATGCAGTATTTACCGCATCTGTTTTATTCTCAAGCTTCAGAGGTTTTTGGTTTTCTTATAATTTGTTCTTTACGATAGGTAATCCATTTCTAAAAGGCAGTGTGTCTCTCAACAGGTTTTACTTCTGAATTAAGTGTTGAAGATTCATATAGCAAAATTAAGACAACATTTTTTAAACCATCAGCATTATTTCAATTAATTCATATCCTCTGAGAGGGTAGTTATTCCTCCACAACATCCACAAAACTGAAACGATACAGAATGAAGGAATGACAGGCTTTTTCAGTGAAGTTTAAACCCTCCACAGAACAAGCTGTAGTGTGTCTTTTAGCTTTTACAGAGACCAACACAACATCAGGTAGTTAAACTGAGCAAATACCACAGAATATGAAATGTGGGAAGAAAGGAGGAACCAAGCATCTAACTAAAAAAGCCAAAAAAGAAATATCCTAAGAAGGAACAGTCAATCCTACCACACTACAAACAGGTTGCTAAGAAAGCACCTTGCAGAGCCATAAGCTGGAGAAAAAACAAGAGTGCCAACTAGCCAACTCCCCATGTGCAGTGAATTGCATTATATTACATTTGCTGGCTTTATTACTACAAACATAAGCTTGTCTGACAAAGACATTTACTCAAACGAGATGTGCTGGATAAAAAAAATTCAAGGGAACACCTTTTCAATAATTTTAATGTCCTCTATATAAAGGAGACACCAGTAATCACAAACAAGAAGCTCAATTCCCCACAGGCTTTACTAATTTGTGGTAATGGTCTTCTCTTACATGTACCTGTAGAGTGCACTTAATGAGATATTCACCTTCCTTTGTGGAAGAAACAGAGCAAATGTTTTCCACCACCAATCTTTCTGAAAATATTTTTGCAACATTTAAGGTTGTAGTTAAAGAACTCATTCTTCTCAGAGACTTTAAAATAAATTCCAGCATGGATATTTCTGGGAGTCTTTACAATAACGGCTACTTAAATGCCATTCTCAAGAGTTAGTACAACTGTGAAAATGTATTTAAGAGTTACTACACACTGTAGTTCTGGCTTTACATGTTGTGAACCAGTTAACTGTTGACATTGCAGAGCTGTTCACTGAGCAATTATTGACAGGGTCATTCATAAATCTCACATGATCTATAAATCCCATAAACTGAAATGCATTAGGATAAAACAAAGCCAAACTGGCAGAGTTCTTATCTTACTGAGATCACCAACATTTTGTTCACAAAAAATATAATTTTGCGAGTGATTTTTTTTGTTTTATTGGAGCTTAGTATATAATTTCACAGACAACCAAAAACATTTAGTAAATTATTTCTATTTATATAAATTATACAGT